TTTTTAAAGAGATTGAGTCTCACTATACTGCCCAGGATGGAGTATAGTGATGCGATCATAGCTCATGAACTCCTGGGCTCAAGGGATCCTCCTGCCTCAGCCTCTTGAGTAGCTGGGACTACATGCGTGTGCCACCATACCCCGCTGATTTTTTTCCTACTTTTTATAGAGATGGGGTCTTGCTATATTGCTTAGGCTGGCCTCGAATTCCTGGCTTCAAGTGATCCTCCTGCCTTGGCCTCTTAAAGTGCTGGGATTACAGGCATGAGTCACTGTGCCTGGGCTTGTACATGCTTTTAAAATCTGGTCATAGCATCTGTAGTTTTTGCAGAACTCTTCTCTCACATCACTGTTTGTTTTTCAGATTAGACAGACACACCCAGGCCACCACGTTTGTTTGTCAGATATTTGGAGGATACCTACGATCTAGAGGTAAATTTTTGTTTAAAAATTGATTAAGTGATACATGAATGTGGTTAAAAAATTGCAAACAGTAGGAAAGGGTTAGTAATGAAAAGTACATCTCTTTTGCATCCCAGACTCCCATCCTGCTCCCCAAAGGCAACCCCTGTACCAGTTTGTAGTATATCCTTCCAGTCGTTTCCTGTGTGTGAGCAAACCGGGACTATACTATGTATATCGCTTTAATTTTTCTCTTAATGTTGGCAATCTTTTTGCATTACAGCACACATAGGCTGAACAAAGTCTTTCACAGTTATGGTGGTATTCCATTTATTTTAGTCCCCTATTGATGGATATTTAGGTTGTTTCTATTTTGTTGCAGTTGTTGTTATTACCGTCAGTGCTTCATTGAGCATCCATGTACACATACCTTTACATCTATGTAGAAGTACATATGCAGGATAAATTCTTAGCCTTAGGATTTCTGGATCATAGGGTGTGTGTATTTCAAATTTTAATACTGTCATTTCTTTCTAAGAAGTTATACCAATTTATATGCCAACCAGTAGCATATGAGGGGCCAGATTCATGACACTTTCACCACATTGTGTGTAGTATTAATTTAAAAATTTTTTTGTCCAATCTGATTGGATAAAAATTATACTTTGTTTTAATTTTTAGTTTGGAAGTAGTACTTGGTATTTTGTCATTTCAGTAGTTGGTGCTGCTATAATGATGACACTTTGCTTATCCTTTGCATTTGATTTTTATTTCAGTCAAATGTTTAAATTGCAAGGGCGTTTCAGATACTTTTGATCCATATCTCGATATAACCTTGGAGATAAAGGTAAGTTTGGTAATTGTTATGGTGGTTAAGTTTAAAAAATGTCATTTTATATAACTTTTTGTATTTATAGTTCATTTATAAGTTAGACTACACTTGTTAAAGAATATGAGTTGCAAAATTTAATGTGCTAAAGTTTTATTTGGAGGTGATTATTCAAACTTTATAGTAGGCGTTATAAAAAACATTTAAAATGGCCAGGCGCAGTGGCTCATGCCCATAATCCTAGCACTCAGGGAGGCCGAGGTGGGAGGATCACTTGAGGTCAGGAGTTTGAGACAAAACTGAGCAAGAGCAAGGCCCCATCTCTACTAAAAATAGAAAAAATCAGCCAGGCATGGTGTCGTGTGCCTGAGGTCCCAGCTACTCAGGAGGCTGAGGCAGGAGGATTTCTTGGGCTCAGGAGTTTGAGGTTGCAGTGAGCTCGGATGACACCACTGCACTCTAGCCCAGGCAACAGAACGAGACCCTGTCTGAAAAAAAAAATAGAAAAAGTCACACTTTGACTTTTCACTTAATAAATCTTAATAAAGGCAGATTCTGATGCCTATTTTAGCCAAACATAGATGGCCATTATTCTTTAGAGACTGTCTTGCTGCTTGCACTTTTTAAACTCCTATTTAAAGATTTGAGATATACTATTTCAAAATATATTGTTTACTTTTTTAAAAATGAGATTATGCCTAATGTCTGGCCACTTGCTGTTTGTGTCTAATTCTGCTTGGAGACCTTTCTGCATAAGTGTGTTCTTTGGGCAGTTGTGTGGTGGTCCAGCAAATGGATAGACCATAATTTATATGCCTGAATCCTTGTTGGTGGATTTGTGGTTTGCTTCTAGTTTTACGCTATGTTAAGTAAAGCTACAGTGAGCATCCTCTTCAGATGGTTTTGTTCATGTTAATCTGCTCATTTTTTAATGCAAGGGGAAATAATTCGATGTGTTGATGTGTAAAGATGGCTATAATAAAGGAAGAATTTATTTTTACATAAAAATTCCTCATTTGCTTTTATGTCTTTGAGTATTCTGTTCTCTCTCTCTCTCTCTCTCTCTCTCTCTCTCTCTCTGTCTGTCTCTGTCTCTGTCTCTGTAACAAATGGCAGTGTGTGGTAATGTGGTATTTATGCTGTTTCTCTTTCCAGGCTGTTCAGAGTGTTAACAAGGCATTGGAGCAATTTGTGAAGCCGGAACAGCTTGATGGAGAAAACGCGTACAAGTGCAGCAAGTATGATGGGTGGTGACTTGCTGGTTTTTGCTGCTGGCTGCTCCAGTGGGGGTGGCAGAGGGGCTTGATGTGAAAGAGTTTGGTGTGCTGACTGTCCCCTCTAGGTTGCCTTTAGCTTCTGATACCATCTGGGAAGACACTGGGTCTCTGTCTTCCAAAGGCCAGGGCCTGCAGCGTCTCAGTGTTTACACTCTTTCAAGATGTGCAACTGTGTGCCCTTGGGAGACTGGTACATCATTATTGGGCAGATTTGGTGGGAGGAGAGAGAGGTAAGATCGTCCACGCACCATGAGTTAGTATTGCCTCGCAGGTGCTGCTTAGGATGACATGTCTGCTGAGCAGCATTTACCTCGACTTTCCTGTGTGAAAGGGTTGAGGTGGAATGGGGAGTCACTTCCCCCCAGGATAGTTAAGGATCTTTCCCTCTTACAGTGGGTATCTAGGGTTTGGGGTAGTATTTTCTAGAAACCTCTAATTTTGATTGTTCATTAATATGTTTCCCCATGAAATCAAGAGAGGCTGTTTTTAAAAAGCCTGATTTCATATATTTTAAGTAGATTTCCACTTTGTAGATTGGTAGTTTAGGTAATCTTTTATTGTCCAATTTATTTTGGGGGAAGAAGGCTCCCTTTTTCTCTCTAAGACCATAGGGATTTCTCCTTTGTTATAAACTTCATGGGTATTTCTAATCTTTGTTTTTCTTCGTTTTGTATCTGGATAGGGCTTTGTTTTCACATAATTATACCAGCCTGAAAATCTATTAGTTTTTCAGTTTGTTTTGAATTGAGAGAAACATGTATTAACCTAATTTTAGCCCTATTCATAACATGCATGGCTCGATTTTTCAGACTTGTCCAGTCATCCTTTCCTTTCATGCTAATTAAATAGTTTCTCCTTGTATTCTTAATTTCTTTTTTTTTTTTTTTTTTTTTGAGACAGTCTCACTTTGTTGCCCGGGCTAGAGTGCCGTGGCATCAGCCTAGCTCACAGCAACCTCAAACTCCTGGGCTCAAGCGATCCTCCTGCCTCAGCCTCCCGAGTAGCTGGGACTACAGGCATGCGTCACCATGCCCGGCTAATTTTTTCTATATATTTTTAGTTGTCCAATTAACTTCTTTCTAATTTTAGTAGAGACGGGGTCTCGCTCTTGCTCAGGCTGGTTTCGAACTCCTTACCTCAAACAATCCGCCCGCCTCGGCCTCCCAGAGAGCTAGGATTACAGGCGTGAGCCACTGCGCCCGGCCCTTGTATTCTTAATTTCAGTATATTCACTGTTGATTGAAGACTGGTGTTTCTTACCTAGTGTCCTTTTGGAAACTTAATTTAGAATGTTTGAGAAAAATAACAAGGGAAAGACTAAAATACCAAGAAAATATATGCATTAATCTTCTGAACGTTTTATTTCTCTTTATTTCAAGGTGTAAAAAGATGGTTACAGCTTCAAAGAGGTTCACTATACATAGATCCTCTAATGTTCTTACGCTTTCTCTGAAACGATTTGCAAATTTTACTGGTGGAAAAATTGCTAAGGTATGTAGATGATACTAATAATCTTTTATGTTGAGCCTTTCAAGGCATAAGTGTCAGTAGCTGTTAAGGGTTGTAAACAACCTAACTGAACAATTTTTGTTGACTGATTTTCTAAGTTCTTCCATTATTTGGTAGCAGGAAAAAAAGGTCAAAGAATAGAGTCGGGAATTTGGAATATGCACTTGAGTGTGTATGTTTTTATTATATCCTTTAGCTGGCTAGACTTTCTAATGATAAAATTGGAAACAATTGTCTGCATTTAGGCTTTATAGTCAGTTTTCTAGTATCCAAGGTAATGAGGGGTTACATAGAGCTTGTGTTATTTGAAATCCAAAGAGGATTTCCTGGCTAGATATTGTCACTTTTTCATTAAAGTTCATTTTCTTATTTGTTCATTTGTTGTCTGATTGGCAGTACACTGAATATTCCCATTTTCTTTTCTTGTTTGTTTTTTTAATTATTTAGACACGGGGTCTTGTTGGTCACCCAGGCTAGAGTGTAGTGGTGCCATCATGATTCACTGCTATGACTCGAAGTCCGGGACTTGAATTTTCCCATTTTCTTTCTACTTTCCGAAGATTCAAAGTGGTCAAATTTCAGTTGTAAGAGAAACAAACCATCCATTCCTGAAGTATTAAAAATAAGTGATGACCAGTGTCCAGAGTTATCATTCTGTTCCTATCTCCTTTGATGGATTTGAAGAATTCACTTAATGTGGATTCTTACCTGTTCAAAGGCAATACAAATTGCAGTGGGATGGCCTTAAATACACTTAGGTTCAGGTGTCCTTCCAGTTAATTGTGTCCTTTGAAAGGTGGTGAAATGTGTTAGGTTTCTGTAAGAATAGCACAGGGTGCACTGGCCTATGGGTCTCCTCCTGGGAGACCCTAAATGCCCTTACTCGAATATGCAGAGTAGTCTATGCCCTCAGAAATGATTTTTTTTTCTCCTTTTTCCATTTCTGTTTAGGATGTGAAATACCCTGAGTATCTTGATATTCGGCCATACATGTCTCAACCAAATGGAGAGCCGATTATCTATGTCTTGTATGCAGTGCTGGTACACACCGGCTTTAATTGCCACGCTGGCCATTACTTCTGCTACATCAAAGTAAGCTGTCCAGATCTTGCTAATAGCTATTGCCACATACATGCTATATGACAGCACTAGTATTCTTGGGAAAGGTGGGACTTTCACAGCTAAAATGTGAACGCCCATTTTTTTTTATATTTCTCTTGACTGCGTTCCATGTTTCTCTAATTAAATGTCATTATCTCTCTTTTGCAGGCTAGCAATGGCCTCTGGTATCAAATGAATGACTCCATCGTATCTACCAGTGATATTAGATCGGTACTTAGTCAACAAGCCTATGTGCTCTTTTATATCAGGTATTGACATGAAAACAGATTGTCAAATTTTGTGTTATTTCATTTATTCTCTCATCAATATTTTGAAATTCAAGGTTGGGCATTGTGGTAGCTCATGCCTATAATTTCAGCATTTGGGAGGCCAAGGCGGGAGGATCACTTGAGGTCAGGAGTTCAAGATCAGTCCAAGCAACATAGTGAGACCCTGTCTCTCCCAAAAAGAAAAATTCAATGTTAGTTATTTTTTATAAAACAGTAGCTTAAAGATTAATTCTGCCATGCACCTCGAGAGTGAGGAAGGTCATTTCTGAGTGTGGATTATGAGTTTGCTTTCGCTTCCAGCTCTTCTGTGGGTTAACACTGCAAGGCCATAGCTGAGGAGGGTGGGCTTCTGCTGCTGGCCACAAACGCAGTGGGCTGGGGGCACTGGTGGCAGTGAGTGGAGACCTTGGGAAGGGGGATCTGAGCACCTGCTGTGGTCACAGCCACCACCTTCCACCCACTGAGCACAGGCAGCCGGTCAGTCACCTTCCTGGCCAAGGCCTGGGCCGGCCTGTGCTCGCATCTGTCTTGCTGTGGCTGCACACCCCAACTTGCTAATTCCATTTTTGGAAAAAATCTGATGTGTGCTTCAGCATGTCCCTTTTTAATAGCTGAAAATTAAGAATATCCTAAAATGTCTGACAGTGGCAGAATGACCATATCCAGTGTTGAAATATTATACAGCTTAACAGTGATTTTTATGAAGCATTTTTTTAATTTCGAGGAAGTGCTGAATATATATGGAAGAAAAGCAGTTTGAAATATTAAGTACTGATATTGAAAACAACCATGTGGGCAAAGCATGGAGGGTAATTGACTAAACCGGAAGAGGCGCTCCCTCTGAGGGGCAAGCTAAGGGACAGTATTTTGTTTCTAACTCTTCTGGACACAACAGATTTTCTACAATGGTATATATTTATAATTAGAAAAATATAAATAGAAAAATACCTTTCAAGTAGCAGCATCCTAAGAATACACAGTTAGAAAATAGTGTTTACCCAGATACCCTGTTTTCTGATCTGAATATCTGACATTAACCTAAACCTAAAGGAGAGAATGTGTGTAGCTCCGTACCATGGAGCATAAAAGTACCATTTCTCCATCAGTTTTCTGCCCAAGGGGTTAAGTGCTATTGAATTTGTAAATGAATGTCTTCCAAGGAAATGTCCTGTGTTAACCTAAGCAACATCACTCTCCCTGTATCCAGGTCCCACGATGTGAAAAACGGAGGCGAACTCGCTCATTCCGCCCACAGCCCCGGCCAGTCCTCTCCCCGCCCAGTGATCAGTCAGCGGGTCGTCAACAACAAGCAGGCCGCGGCAGGGTTCATTGGACCACAGCTTCCCTCTCACATGATGAAGGTAACATTTCATAGGGAGGATATAATCTTTGTATTAATTTTTAAAATGTATCCTTCAAAATCTGAAGTTAACATTGTGGTAGTTGCTATGTCCTCATATACAATTGGATTTCTTCTCAAAAAAGTTTATTTAAGCCCTTTATTGTAAAGTCTGGCCGGACTTACATGTGTGATTGTATACAGTTGTCCACATCTTAGAATAGTCTGTGTCATTTGTGCTATAGAATCTTAATGACTTCTCAGTTTGTTTTGAATTATACAAATTATCTAGTTGTATGCTTTTTTTTTTTTTTTTTGCTAGAGTGCCATGGCGTCAGCATAACTCACAGCAACCTCAAACTCCTGGGCTCAAGTGATCCTTCTGCCTCAGCCTCCTGAGTAGCTGGGACTACAGGCATGCGCCACCATGCCCGGCTAATTTTTTCTATATGTTTTTAGTTGTCCTACTAATTTCTTTCTATTTTTAGTAGAGACGGGGTCTCGCTCTTGCTCAGGCTGGTTTCGAACTCCTGAGCTCAAACAATCCGCCCGCCTCGGCCTCCCAGAGAGCTAGGATTACAGGCGTGAGCCACCGCGCCCGGCCTAGTTGTATGCTTTTTTAAAATGGATATTAGACAGTATTTGAGTTATAATAGGAGTCACAAATCTAATGCCTTTTGAGCTGGGAAGGCGATAGGCTGGAGCTGGGCCCCACTTCAGAGTGACCTTAGGGTGCTGGCACAACGGAGAGTACATGCCCTGTGGAAAGGGGCAGCTGTCATTGATTTTCCAAGAGTTCGGTTTGTTGGTTTTTGATCATGAAGCTTTCCAATGTTAAGATAGCAACTAATTCAGATATTTGAGAAAACATTGTGAAGGTCAGACACAATTCATCTGTAAACCAGCTTTCACCCTGAGCCACCATGGGTGTGGCAACAGTAGTGGGAACCTGAGCAAAAGAACTGCATGCGTAGAACTCAGAGACATCCCAGGGTGGTGGTGGCGGCGATGGTGAGGTCATGGCTTAGCCAGTAGCACCTGAAGCAGCCTCAGTTCTGTCTTTGCCCACGTCATGTGACTGTCTTCCCTCAGTCCCAGGCCAGTTGTGATTCCTGCTTCCTGCCATTTCCTTCTGTCTGCAGTGTGGGCTCCGAGGAAACCCAACCAAGGAGAACCTATGTGACTGCATGCCCAAGGGGCCTGTTCATGCCTGTCATATTTGGAACAGAAAGAATGTGATCTCAGGGTTGTATTCTGACAAACATATTTGTTTTCTTTGTTGATTAATTGCTAGAAGACTAGGACCTGTACAGGAAAGGTATGCATGGGTAGGAACAGATGAAAGAACAGGGAGGCGTTTCTAGGTATGTGAAACTTGTTAGTCATAAAAAGAAAAGGATGAAAATGGGAAGGCCCATAAGCCAAAATGGATTCTGTTTCTATGACTGAGTTTCTGGAGCTCTGACCTGGCTGTGGTTTTCTTCCTTCCAGAATCCACCTCACCTGAATGGGACTGGACCACTGAAAGACACACCAAGCAGTTCCATGTCAAGCTCTAATGGAAATTCCAACGTCAACATGGCTAGTCCTGTTAATGCTTCAACTTCTGTTCAAAACTGGGCAGTTAACAGGTCTTCTGTTATCCCAGAACATCCCAAGAAGCAGAAGATCACTATCAGTATTCACAACAAGTTGCCTGGTCGCCAAGGCCCATCTCAGCCTAACCTTCATAGCAATTCTGTGGAGAACCCTAACAAGCCTGCTCCCTCTTCTACCATTACCAATTCTTCTGCAATACAGTCTACCTCGACTACATCTATGATGTCAGTTTCTAGCAAAGTAACAAAACTTACTACCCCAAGTGAAGCCCGTTCCAAGCCTGTGATGAATGGCAAGTCCAAGCTGAACTCCAGCGTGTTGGTTCCCTATGGCGCTGAGTCATCCGAAGAGTCTGACGAGGAGCCCAAGGGGCTGGGCAAGGAGAATGGTGTCAGTGCCATCTCGAGCTCCCTCTCTCCTAGCCAAGGTGCTGAAGATGATGAGGTCTCACAGCATGAGCTCCAAGAACCTATTACCCTAAATGGTGCTAACAGTGTAGACAGTGACCCGAAAGAAAATGGTCTGCCATTTGATGATGCCGATTGCCAAGTCCAGCCTGCTCTACACTCAGAAAATCCCTTTTCTAAAGCAAATGGTCTTCCTGGAAAGGTGAGGCGGGGTGGGAGCGGGGGCTGCAAGCTTTGAGTCCCTATTATGGCAGTTCTCTTGGCAGGATTTCAGGAGGCATGCAGTTGGCATCTAGAGTTAAAATACCTGTTTTTTATTGTAGTTGATGCCTGCTCTGTTGCCATCTCTCCCAGAAGACAACATCTTAGAGACCTTCAAACTTAGCAATGCAGTGAAAGCCTCGATGGATGAAACCAGGTAAAACAAGAAAAAGTTAGAGGGAAGTGAACTGCATAGTAGGAAATCCAGCAGTGCCTATGGATCTTTCAGCATTTTAACTCCGTAGAAGTCATAGTGAACATTTGGAATCCTGGAATGATTTGACTTAACATAATCTAAAGAATATGTTTATTTGCCTTTTCAGAAGACTAAAGAAAAAATTTAGTATGTGGGACTGAGTCCATGAAAACTTGATGAAACTCAAGCTGACGTTCTCTTCTCCCACATAGCTTCTTTTCTGGTTAGGGATGTTGTTGGCATATGTCTGAATTTGATACCAAGCACTGTCTCATTTAATGTTTTCCATGATGAACAAGCATGTGAGGACATATTAAGGTTATAAGGCAGGGAAGGGGTGGCAGCTCTACCAAGGAGCAAACACAGTCATGCCTCGCTTAATGACAGGGATACATTCTGAGTATCCTTTATACAAACCTCTAAATGCGTCGTTGGAGGATTTTGTCATTGCGCAAACACCCTGGAGTGTCCTTAACCTAGATGGCACAGCCTACTGCACTCCTAGGCTGTATGGTACGGCCTGTTGTGCCTGGGCTACACGCCTGTTTAGCACCTTACCGTACTGAACACTGTAGGCAGCTGTAACACAATGGTAAGTATTTGTGTACCTAAACACATCTAAACCTAGAAAAGGGACACTAAAAATAGAGTGTGGACAATAACAAATGGCACACCTGTGTAGAGCACTTGCCGTGAATGGCACTTGCAGCACTGGACCTTGCTCTAGTGAGTCAGTGAGTGGTGAGTGGCCAGGGACATTACTCTACACTGCTGTAGACTTTATAAACACTGTATAGTTATACTAAATTTATAAAAAAATTCTTTCTTCAGGCTGGGCGTGGTGGCTCATGCCTGTAATCCTAGCACTCTGGGAGGCCAAGGCGGGAGGATCGCTCGAGGTCAGGAGTTCGAGACCAGCCTGAACAAGAGCGAGACCCCTAAAAATCTCTACTAAAAATAGAAAGAAATTATCTGGACAACTAAAAATATATATATAGAAAAAATTAGGCAGGCATGGTGGTGCATGCCTGTAGTCTCAGCTACTTGGGAGGCTAAGGCAGAAGGATCACTTGAGCCCAGGAGTTTGAGGTTGCTGTGAGCTAGGCTGATGCCACAGCACTTTAGCCCGGGCAACAGAGGGAGACTCTGTCTCCAAAAAAAAAAAAAAACAAAAATTGTTTCTTCAATAATAAATTAAATTTAGGTTACGGTAACTTTTTTGCTTTAGAACTTTAATTTTTAAAAAATTTTTTGACACTCATAATAGCACTTAGTTTAAAACACAAATACATTGTACAGCTGTACAAAAATACTTCATATCCTTATTTTATAAGCTTTTTTCTATTTAAAAAAATTTTTAACTTTTTTGTTAAAAACTAACACACATTAGCCTAGGCCCACACAGGGTCAAGGATCATCGAAATCACTATCTTCCACACCCACATTTTGTCCCATTCGAAGGTCTTCAGGAGTAGTAACATGCATGGAGCTGTCATCTCCTATGACAACAATGTCCTCTTCTGGAATACACCCTGAAGGACCTGCCTGAGGCTGTTTTACAGTTAACTTTTTTTTTTTATAAGTAGAAGGAGTACATGCTAAAGTAATGATGAAAAGTATAGTAAATACATAAACTAGTAATGTAGTTGTTTATTATATTGTCAAGTACTGTGTGCTGGACATAATCATACGTGCCAGACTTTTATCCGACTGGCAGTGCAGTAGGTGTGTTTATACCAGCATCACCACAAACAGGTGAGTGATGCCTTATGATACAATGTCACAATGGCTATGAGGTCACTAGGCGATGGGGATTTTTCAGCTCCGTTATCATCTTACGGGACCACTATCATACGTGCAGTCCATTGTTGACTGACAACAGTCTTTACATGACACATGACTGTACTTTGTAGAATTATAAAGAATTCTGAAATTAAATTCACAGGTAATATAACCTCCTTCCACAGTTTCTTAAAAAATCAATATATTGACCTAACTATAATGTTAGGAATAAAAGGAAAGGAATTTATAATGCAATGATAGCTGTTTCAATATGCAAAGAAGCAGGCAAGACTGCTCTGCCGCAAAGTACAGTAACGCAGCCTGGTGCTTGCATCTGCGCACAAGTTGCCTGTGAGCAGGACAGTTCAGAATGTGGCCTGGCATTGGCATGCTCAGTACCATTGGGATGTCCTATTCTCAAGGTGAACAGCTTTTGGTGAAGTTCTGACCACATCATAATACCACCGTCTCTAGATTTACATAGTAGGTGTATTCCTGGAAACTTGAGTGTCTGTGGAAACTGTGCCAATAATATTTTACCTGGGGTTTTCACCCCCATGGCCGTCAGTACTGGTGGGAGTGGGGACACTCCCTCACATGTGGGACTGCTGGCTGTGCCTTGCCCGTAGTTCGGTGGAGCTTCCCATTGCTGTGGCAGCCCCTGAAGGATCCCTGGCAGGTGGGGTACCCTCACTGAGAACCCCAGTTAGGAAAGCTTAATTATTAACATGGAGTGCAGTCAACCTGTGGGCAAAGAACACTCATTCCCAGTTTAACTTAAAGATAGAAGAGCTTGAATGCTCAGTCATTTGCATAGTGACTTTCCTCTCGTTTCTTTTCTGGTCTAGCTTAGTGGTCCTCAGATTTAATGTGCATGAGAATTACCATGGATGGTCATATAAACAAAGCCACGTATGGACTGTGCCCAAGCACGTGTAGTCTTACATGCTGCTGGAGAGTCCCTGTGCATGCTCTAGGTGGCTTCTTGGTGTTGACTTGGTGTGTGTCGTCTCCCCTAGATATGTTCCCTCTAACAAGTGGAGACCACCATAAGGTTTTTATTGTTTCTTGGCAGTTCTCATTATCTGTGAGAATGTATCAAAAGTTCTACAACAGGCCGGGTGCGGTGGCTCACGCTTGTAATCCTAGCACTCTGGGAGGCCAAGGCGGGTGGATTGCTCAAGGTCAAGAGTTCGAGACCAGCCTGAGCAAGAGTGAGACCCCGTCTCTACTAAAAAATAGAAAGAAATTAGCTGGACAACTAAAAATATATGTATATATATATAAAAATTAGCCGGGCATGGTGGCGCATGCCTGAAGTCCCAGCTACTTGGGAGGCTGAGGCAGAAGGATCGCTTGAGCCCAGGAGTCTGAGGTTGCTGTGAGCTAGGCTGACGCCACGGCACTCTAGCCCAGGTAACAGAGCAAGACTCTGTCTCAAAAAAAAAAAAAAACAAACAAAACAAAACTACAACAATCGAGGGCAGAGTTAACTTATAGAGAGTTTTTCCGAAGCCTCAGTGATTCCTCACCAGTTATCAGTAATGCAGGGAGATGCTGGCTCTGTTTGCAGGTAGCTATTCTGTCTCTGAGGCTCTAAGAGAAATTCCAAGGAAAGGGAGCTAGGGGAACAGCAGGAGGCTCTGTCATCCTTCGACTTTTTGTTTAAACTTAGGTATTAAGAAGAATTGGAAGTATTTATGGAAACAGGAAGAACCTAGAACTGCAGAATTATTGTTGCTGAAAAATAGGATGGGGGTAGGTAGGCTCAATACAAAATGTTATATTTATTTTATGAAGGAAAGAAAATTTGAAGTTTCCAGAGATGATAAGCCTAATATATTTAAAGGTGTAAAATATTTAGTAATAAATGTTTTAAAGTATTTGTCCCTAACTGTTCCTTTGTTTACTTGTTCTCGGGGGGCCTGCAGTACACCTGGAGCTGAGGAAAACCCTCCCGAGGAGCAGGACATGGAAGTTGAGGCCTGCAGCCCCTCTGATGATTCCGAAGAGAAGCTGGAGACAATCGAGAGTCTGAGCAACAAGTTAAAGAAGGTTTTGTCATTTCCTGACTCCAGCGTCGTATCTACCAAAGAAGAAGTCTCTGAAAACAGTTCAGCAAAACCTGATGAATCTTCGTCCGGTATCAACATTCTTTGTAACACCAACAAGAATACCCTAGGCGATGATCAGATTTCTAAACCGTGTGACCCTGGGGACTTAACAGATGACCAGAGCAAACCATCCCTAGATGTAAAAGGGACATTAGTCGAGAGTCCACAGGACGCGGTGTCAGCGGAAACTGTGGAGAAATTGAGCCCAGCTCCCTTGGCGCATTCAGAAGATGGACGTGAGTGTCCGATCCTGGCTTACCTGGGGAGAGACGGAGGCAAGGACGCGGAAGACTGTCCCAACAGTGCGGGCGTGTGTGCCGAGCGGCTGCCCTCTCCTCAGCCAGACAAGACCACAGGAGATCCTTCAGAAGGGGATGCTGAGCAGAGCCGTGCGGAGAGATGTGATGAAAGTAAGGTGGGACAAAAGGTCCGGGATCGTTCTCCAGTTAAGGAAAAGATCAGCAGCCTAAGAAAAGTCGATCGAGGACATTATCGTAATCGAAGGGCTCGTTCTTCCAGCGGAGAACACGCAAAGGAAAGTAGGAGCAAAACTGAGGACCGTTATTATAGAAAGCACCGCTCCTATGTCCGAGAGCGGTCCAGACAGGACCGCTACACCACAGAGCACTGCAACGGGAGCCAGCACCACCTCAACCATGGTGACAGAGTCAGCCCTGGCGAACGCCACTCTCTGGTCAGGTACAGCTACCACCACTCTCGAAATAGAAGCGGATCTGACCAGGACTGGAGCAGGTACCACCATGCAGAAGGTGAACACATCTGGGGCCGGGAGAAATACTACCCAGATAAAATGAGGTGGGACAAGTGCAGGTACTACCACGACAGGTACGCTCCTTACACAGCCAGGGAGGCTCGGGAGTGGAAGCCCTTCCCTGGAGGCCGTGAGCCCGACAGAGCAGGGCAGCGCCATGGCCGGCTGCACAAGGACTACTACAGGAGCCGCAAGGACTATGAGGTGGCTGCCAAAGAGAAGGTACGGCACCATCTTAGCAGCCCCCGAGCAGGCCCGCCCGACCCCCTTCCCCTCTACCCCGAGAAGTTCTCACATGACAAAATTGCACTCGGAGCCGAAGACAACAGTTGTAACCTCTCTGATCGGTTTCATGAACACGATAATGTAAAGTCACGGAAAAGGAGATTCGATGATGTAGAAAATAATGACAGTCACATAGAAAAGAAAGCCCAGAGAAGCTTACAAAAGGATCCCTTAGAAGAGCCTAAAGTGAAGAAGCACAAAAAATCAAAGAAGAAAAAGAAATCCAAAGACAAACACCGAGATCGCAATTCTAGGTGAGGTTGGGGCTATGGGCACCCAGCGGTAGGTAGGAGCTCGCGGCGCCCTTCATACGTTCTCGCACGTTCTCATGTGTTCACGCGTCAGCTCGCATGGCCTTGTCTCTTCTCACCCAGCTTAGGAACAAGTGAAATGAATGCCATGGTTACATTTGTTTGATTTGTAGTTTTCATCTTTATGAGTTTTGAGATTTCACTGTTTTTACACATTTATAAAAATTAGCTCTGCTTTTAAGCTGTATCTTAATTTCATTGTATTGTTAAAGGCCTGACAACCTCATTTTTCAAAATGATATTGCCATTTTCAGTTAATACTTTATAACACTTCCAGGATTAAGTGTGCCATGTTCTGTAAATGAAAAGTTGGAGTCTTTGATTTCAAAATCGGTGTTAATACTCTTGTCAGATGTGGTTGTGTTTTGTGTCTGTTATATTTTCTTCAAATGCAGGGACTGTGAGGTAGGCAGACACCGGGAGGCACAGTTCCTAGCATTTGCAGGCCTGCCCAAAGTGGGGATCCAAGACACGTCATTTGTTTTCCTTGGCCTTTGTCTGTTTTTTCTGTCTCCATTTCTCAATTTTAAGTTTAATTGGATGATTTTTTTTTATATTTTTAAAGAGCTAAATTGGTTAGTGATTGTCTTAAAAGTGACTTATCCATGAGGGGACAGATGAGCGTGAACAGAATTGCTATATATTTTAGTGATGTCTCTTAAAATTGAAACCCTGGGAAAAGATTATCATAAGCCGTATGTGGGAAAAGGAAGCCATAAACATCTTTTCCTCCTATGTGCCTGAGACATGTGGCAACAGTATTATTTTTTCCCTCAGACACTGGTTTCAGGAAAAGCTAGCAGAACGTTGGCCAACAACCTCAGCTCCTGAGAACACCGAAGGCAGTGGTCGGAGTGTTCATGGTGGAGTTAAAGTTGGTGAATTTATGACCCTGATCTTAAATCATTACAGTGAAAGCAAACAACATATTGTTAATTAGATAAGAATTTTACCTGTTTGCACCGTGAGTGTCGTCAGAAAGTGGGTGTTAAAGCCAGGGAGCAAGGCCTGTTGGAGGGGCTTTTGTTTTTCTGGTGGTTTGAATTCCGGCTTTTCCTTCTGCAGGCATCAGCAGGAGTCAGACCTTTCGGTAGTTTGCTCTGATGTCGACCTCCACAGACACAAAAAGAAAAAGAAGAAAAAGAAGAGACATTCAAGAAAATCAGAGGACTTTTTTAAAGATTCAGAACTACACTTACCTAAGTCCTCCGGCTATGAGACTGTTGACCGTTTCCGGAGATGCGAGGGCGGCTTTCTACTCACCGATGGCCTGCTTCTGGAAGGGGCTGGACCTTTCCGTGAGAAAACAAAGCATTTAAGGATGGAAAACAGGGACAACAGGGGTCATCTGTTTGAGTATGGCCAGGGTAAGAGGAGATACTTGGAAATAAGAAGATAGAAACTATTTTGAATTGTTTTTTCTAAAAAAGTGATAAACACTGCAGGGAAAAAAACCTCCAATGGCATCAAAGGGTATACAGTCAAAAACAGTCCCCATCCTGCCCCATTTCATCCAGCCTCGATTCTCCGACAAGGAGTGAGATTCAGTTGTGCGGCTTGGCTGTTGAGCAGCGATCGCTCAGCACCTGCTGAAGGCCTAAGTTCCGTGGAGTCAACCCCCTAGAACTTATGGCCCTGGGTATCTTTGAGTAGTTGCCTCAAGAAGGACCAGAATGTTTGGTTTTAAAGTGTTTTTGATAGAAATGTTTCTGTAGTATATGCTTTATTCTCCTGAATCCTTAAGCCTGTAGCATTCTTGAGTATAACCTCACTCCTCATCTGGGCCGTTGGCAACAGTAGCTGTCACGCCACCAGCCTTTGAGGCATCTGCACCCCGGGTCTCTGGCTGCCACCAGGCTGCTGGGTGTCTGGGATTCTTGTGTCTGTTTTGCACAACTGTCTTCCCTCATAATTCATTAGCTCTATGTGCTCTCTGCACTTAAGGCTGCCTTCTCCTCCTTTCTAGTTGTTTCCAATGGCCTCTGACCCCAGAATGGAACACTGAGCTTGTTAAAATGGATGTAATAAGTCAGTGGACCTAGAGCAGAGGCTTCGGGCTGGCTTTGTCCTGTCATCTGTCTGTATGACCTGTGAGTTAAGAATGGCTTTAACGTTTTTAAGTGGGTGGAAAAAATCTCAAGAATATTATTTTGTTTCACTTGAAAATTATATGAAATGGCCGAGCGTGGTGGCTCACGCCTGTAATCCTAGCACTCTGGGAGGCCGAGGCGGGCGGATTGTTTGAGCTCAGGAGTTCGAAACCAGCCTGAGCAAGAGCGAGACCCCATCTCTACTAAAAATAGAAAGAAATTAATCGGACAACTAAAAATATATAGAAAACATTAGCCGGGCATGGTGGTGCATGCCTGTAGTCCCAGCTACTCGGGAGGCTGAGGCAGGAGGATCGCTTGAGCCCAGGAGTTTGAGGTTGCTGTGAGCTAGGATCACGCCACGGCACTCTAGCCTGGGCAACACAGTGAGACTCTGTCTCAAAAAAAAAAAAAAAAAATTATATGAAATGCTAATTTCACTGTAACCTTGTATCAGAGTACAGCCAGGCTTGTTTACGTTGTCTGACTGCTTTGGTGCTGCTACTCAGCAGAGATGAGTAGTTGCAACAGAGACTTGTAGTCCAAAAAGCTGAAAATGTTTATGATTTGGCCCTTTACAGAAAATGTTTGTCGACTCTTGACATCTGAGGTTCACATTTGTGAATAAAGCGTGTTGTACATCATGGCAGGGACTTTGACACGTCGTCTTGGTTGCCCCGAGGCCTGTGTTGTGGACTCAGCTGAGATGTGTATTCCAGGGGGAGGCTCGGAAAGGGGAGCAGGCCTGTCCCCCCGAGAGGCCCACACTCACCGTGCGATATTGATGGAGGGTAAATGGTCCCCAGAGTGAGGGTGGAGTATATTACATGGGAAGAACAGTTGCAGCAGGAAATGTAGGGGGAAATCTGTGGCTGATGTGGCCAATGAAAAGAATCACCATTGCCAGCAAGACTAAAGTGGCATTTGCTCTGTTTTTTAAGAAATTATTATATACATTTTAAAATTGGTTTCACATGAACCTTTCAGTGATTTGGGGAAGTGGATTGTTGAGGATGGATTCCTTTCTGACCTCTGCTTGGTCCTTGAGGATGAAGTGGTGAGACGGGCTTGTTCTGCGTATCGTGCGGGGCCCCAGGATCGTTTCAGAATCTCCCGTTCCCGCCGCAGGTCTCTGTCGTGTGGACACAGTGGGCGGCAGCTCAGCCCCCAGAGGTGCTAAGTCTAGATTAGAGGGAGGTTGAACGTGAACCTCAGTATTTGTCTTGCATTGGGTAGACGAGTGTCTTGAGGGTGCCACTGTCAGGCTTTGTGTCTGAGTGGTGGCCCTGTGTTTCTGTCTCCAGTCTAGTTGCACTGATGACTGGTTTGGGGTTGGCACTTGTGAGCACTGTCCTGTCCTGAGAAGGGCCACCTGCTTGGCCTCGCCACACTGAGCATCCCTCTCAGCTGGCTGAGGACAACGTCCTCCAGGCCTGCCACTGTCGTGGGCTTTGGCTGTTTACCTTTCTCTTTCATACTCCTGTTGTCTGGCTGTGTTCCACACTCAGTTAATTTCTTTGGCCTAAGATCTGTTCTTTCTTGATGTTAAAACATGTGACAGGCTGAGGATGGCCTAGTTCCTGGGCATGGCTTCCGCTGCATCCTTCTGCCAGGACCACGGCCCTCAGTGGTCACGTGAACTCTAGTGTTCCGTGGAGCACTTGGAGAAATGCCGCGCGCCGGTGTGTGCGCCAGTATATACTTGCCCTCCTCGTGTGGGACTGAAGTCAGGCCACTAACGTTAAACTAGAGAGAATTGATTCTCACTGTAGTCACTTAATGCACAGAGTACGGGCACTAAAATTTTGCGAAGCCATCATTAAAATCTGTTTCCTAACCTTTGCTTTCTAGGTAATTGAAAACTCGGCCTCAAAACAAAAAATTCACTAGTTATGGTAAGCTGTTTTCCTGTCTACATTTCATAATTGTTTGTGGGGGTCCTGAGGGGACCCAGATGAGGGAATTCTGAAGAAAACATAGGGCCCTGGGCACTGCTGCAGCCCAGTGGCCGCGGCCACACCTCACCCCTGATACATGCTTCGGCCTCTTCTCACCAGCCTTGCCTTTGCTGGCTAGGTGAGGTCCATGTCCCCTAACTCAGGCAGAGTCGCTCCGTTTCCTCCCTCGTCTCGTTGTAAGAAAAGCCAACAAAATTCAAAGCATCAGAACCAACGATGTTCAGATTAGCGTGTGGAGCTGGAGAAGCCTGTTTCCCCACCCACACCTCCCTAACTGGCTTGTCCCAGGAGAGGAGCCCGGGAGGCTGCATTTTGCCACTTGCCCCGTCCCCTGTTCCTGTGCTGCCACACACCTGCCGGTCTGAGACCTGGGCTTAGCGTGCCTCATGCTGCACACACCCAGCTGCTGGCGCAGCACCCGGGCCAGACTTGGACGTCACCCTGAAGCGCAGGACCAGGCAGCCGCCTCACGCGGGATGCCTGCGGTATCCGAATGACGCCTGGCTGCTTGACAGAGCAAGACCTTTGCGCGCCAAGGCTGTGCGCAAGGCATTTAACTCGGGTCCTGGGAGATAGTAATTCATGTTTTACACCCTACACTTGCTGAGGTAAAGGGGATAATGAACCATTTTGCCCTGGAAAGGAAATTTTGTCCAAATGTGTCTGTCACATCTAATCAGCAAGGGGGATTTTAAATGAATTTCAAAGTGAATTGTCTATAGAAGATTAATTTGCTGTTAATTAACATGCTTTATCAGTATGTCCTCAAGGGAAAGACCTAAACCTAATTAAGGAATTAAACTGATACCAATGAAAGAGGGAATTTATGGATTGAGGCGGATGAGCAGCTGTTCGGGTTGGGCGGGCACATGGTACCTCCCTTGTTTAGCCGCCGGCTGCGCCCTCTGCACATCCGCCCAGTGATGCCAGGTTCCCTTGTTTCCATTCGGGAAGGCAAAGTGTGACCGTTTCAAGGAAGAAGAGCTTCCCCAAAGACCTTGGGGACCAGCTGACAGGGAATCCAAGAACAAGTTACTGGTGTCACGGGAAGGAGAGGCCTGCCCAGGCTCACTAGGCTCTGCCCCAGCTTCCTGCCTCTGGTCCTACTAACGCTGTGCCTCTTGTCTTTCAGATTCAACGTGTTCAACAGAAGCCATCCCCAACCCAGCTTAAATTATAAATACGGAAAATAACTTTGTTCAAATCTGCGTGGTGCTTCTTTAGTAAATATTGTACAGATTTTACCATGGAGAACTTTTTTTTTTAGTTTTTACCTTTTCTTAATTACCCTTCCGAAAGGATGAACACTTTCTACAACAACTGCTGACCATTGTAAAATACCGTGTATATAAATCACATTGAAAATAATGCCCTGGAATAGAACATCTCAAATGCTGCTTAATTACAGACTCAGGTTGATTACTTGTATTTCATGTAATGTTCCTCCAAGTTAGACATCTGGTGCAAGACCAACCGGGAAACCATGGAATTGTTAAAAGTACAAACTGACAGTGTGTATATTTAATTTAAAGACTTATTTAAAAATTCACAAGCTCTCAACTACACTTCGAGAGCAGTGTTTTCTGTAATGTCTGATACTAGAAACTAATTTGCTTCATATTTTAGTTGTATTCAAGATTTGAAGATGTATTTTATAGACAAGTTCTGTTTTTGAACTTTGTGGAACTGTTCAATCAATTTACCAGTTATGATGAGTATTCACATTATGAATGTATAACCCAAACATTATTTGTAAAGCCTACAGAATGTTTTTATTACATAACACTTTTTTATACAGTGTCTCTTGTCTTGACTGTATGATATTGGAGTCTGAGTTGTCAGCTTGGTCCCTTAAAGTTTCTAGTTACAGACAAAATCATACTGTGATTTTATTTTTAATATGGATATGCTATCAAACTGTGATACACTTATAATTCACTGGTCCTGCATCAGGAGATGGAGTGGGGAAAACTGTATTTAATACAGTTTGTATCTGAATAATCTGTATGGTTTATACAGTTTGTGTTGTTCAGAGATGTCTAAAGTTTGATCTTTGTTTTTTTAAAGATTAAAAAAGCACTTGCCCCACTGTAAATATTCAGCATGTAAAATTTATATAGTATATAAATGGCAGCAAATTACATATTTTGCGTGTCTGTTCACTGCTGTTTTCGCCATCTGCTTCCAGACTCCTTCCTGTTGTCTGTACTCACTTTCCTTGAAACCAACAAAGCCTCTGCCACAGTCCCTTAGTTGGTGCCAACCCTGGGAATGGGTGAGGGAAGCAGTTTGCTGGACCCCATGTTACCTCCACTTGAAAGAACCAAGTTGTAGACAAACTTGTTTTCATAATACATGAATTTTATTTAGTGAACACAGTATTTGCAGGAGTTTTGACAGCCATACACCACCCAGTCTTACTGTTCACTTTACAACCAAATATCTAATAGATACAGGATATTTCTCCATGCAAGTTACGGGAGTATATACACTGAATAACACACACTCCAGAAGTCAATATATATGTACACTATTTACATATTACTATATTTACTGTAAATAGAAACGTTTTCTAAGAAAAAATAAGAAAATGAGAAATCACAACTTAGGTTTCCGGTCTACAACAGACCTAACTTCTCAGCAAAGCACATCTATGTAGATATAATGCATCTGTAAGTTTAAAAATATGCATTGCTTTATATGAAGCATTAAGTGCTGCTTCATCTATAAATAGCTCCTATTTTGACCCAGTTTGGTACCACATTAAACTGCCCACACACACTCTGTGGCCCTGAAAACATCGTTGCTTGTCTGGGTCCAGGGTCAGTCCAATTAAACCTCAGATGTTAGCCAGGGCCTAGCAAGACAGGCTGGAGCGGCTGTGGAAGCCACCCTCTCCAACCCACGGTTCCTCTTCACTGCCCACTGCCCTTTGTCTCTGGAGGAAAGTTTGTCTTTGGCCAGAGTTGGGACTAAATTCAAACACTGCATAGACATCCGGGTGGGGAGGCAGCGGGACATGATGGATCACACTGAGGCTCGGGCAACAAAACCATGCCCACGCACCGCAGGGAATGGCATAGCCATCCTGCTTCAGGGCAGCCCTGGAGGCGGCCAGTCCCACACAGTACCTGACTGGCGAGTGTTCTGGACCAGGTGTGCCCGAGGGCTCAGCAGGCGTGATGGCTGTGTGCCCTGTGTGTTAATACTGTCATAACAAAACCTGGAGTTAGGTGATTTCACATAACGCCCTTTGACGGCATGTTACCTAGACTCTAAGCACCACGGCCTCCTGCAGCACTCCTGGGTGAAGCGCGTTCACGGACGCCCATAGCAGAGAATCCGTTATCTCCAGGTGACTCCTTCATGCTCACTTCTTCCAATACCCCAAAGACTGAAAGCTCCACATCCTCAGGGTTATACCTGGGTTAGTCAGGAGAAAGGAAATGGCTTGTCCTCATGTGCCATATTGATAGAACTGGCACTGGGGCCAGCCCTGGTGTGGGGCCAGCCTGAGGGGTGGGCACTGCCGAAGGAGCCCGTCATCAGTGTTCGGTCTGGGGGTCCAGGCAGAGCTGCTGTTTTCATGGAAGACTGGAGGCCAGGGTTGCATATATACCAGGCAGGCATCTCAAGATTCCTGACTTGCCTTTCTCAAAAACTAAAGTTTCAAATTTGAGGTATCAGTACAGTAACAAAGCCTAGAAACTTGGGAATGAACCCCCAAAAAATTTCAGTTTGATGCGTGATGGAGAGTTATGGCCTTGGACCCCTCTGCACTCTAGTGTGACTTAAAGGTACACCAGGGTCAGCAGCGTGGAGGCAAGGGCTCCCGCTCAAGGCAATTCGCAGGAGTAGTTGCTTCTGTTCAGAATGAACCTAAGTGCATCCAGTCTGAGGTTCTCTCTCCTGGACTCTCATTTTGCACTGGAGCACAAAGGACCTCCAAAGGGTGCACGTTCAAGGTGTGTGTCTACACAGACAGGGCAGGGAGGGGAGTTCTGTGGGGGAAAGCCATCCACCAACTGAACAGCCCTCGCATGCAAGGAGGGTCCTGTGTGTTAACGCGGGAGTCTGCGAAGCAGAAATAAAGCTCCTGATAGAGTGTGGCATCTGCCACCAGCCGTCTTAGCCTGAGCACGTGGCACCCCGTCCAGCCTCGTGACGTGTCCGTGTGCAGGGCCAGATCCAGCGTCCCTTCAGCAGATGTACCAAGCACCTGCTGCTCTGGGCCATGGCAACCTGACCACCTCCTCGGCGTGGTGCTTTGCAAGTTCCACCACTGCTGTCTGTATCAAGGGTTCTAACTGTCCACAGAAACCCTCAGTGCCACCCCACTGCACCCAGGGATCGCTCTTGCCCTGCTGATGGGGAAGCACATCTATGAAGACATGGTGAACTACAAGAGGAGTAAGACTGATTATTTCTAGTTACTTATGTGTCTATTCATTACATTAAGAAATTTGGTCAAATTATAAGGTCAGTAAAATGAGCACTCATCTGGCCCAAGGTTTTAAATAGCGACGGATGGGGTCAAAAGCTGGTCTGACCCATGTGTTCGGGTGAACCATATGAAACTGTGTGTGTGGATCAAAAACAGTCAAATACGAGCAGTTACATGTGGTTCAACATATGGACAATCTGTGTCCAGGGGAAAAGCGCTGTTTCCTAGGATTCCACAGTTATGGGATGAATACCCCCAAACCATAATGATTCTATTTTAATGATTTCTTTCTTTAGAAAGTATTTGTGGGGCCAAAAAATCTGAGTTGAAGCACACTGAAGCCTCCTTAGGACACTGGGCGCCTCCCTCCCCAGTGGCCCCCCACAGGCCCCGCACCAGCTTCCACCCAAGTGCAAGTGCCCCCAGCCCACCCTTTGGGTGCTGCATATATATATATATTTTTTTTTTTTCAGTGCACAGTATATACTTATGTCCAGGAGTTAACTTTATAGCTGCCATTCTAAAAATACTACTGTTAGAAAGTATCTTGTTATAATTTGAGGATATAAAAAGGCATATAAAAGCTATAATCCTATATATCTGAGAAAAAATTCTGAATAAAAAATCGGTAGCTTTTCCTTTCCTGTTTTGATATAAAACAGCGGCTTCTAGAACAGTTAACACTGCCACGAGTGAGCACGTTTGGCATGGTTCAGACGAGGCTCCTGCCTATGGAACACATCCCGCATCTGCTGCACAGGTTTCTCTGCTGAACCACCAGGTGCTGCTGCTGAGAAAGTGGGGGTGGCACCATTTGGACACCTCCCTCTGTGGGCACCAACAGTCACAGGAAGGAAGTGCTCCTGAAGCTGACCCAATCCCAGACCACGGCGCAAGGCTTCGGGATATGCAGTTTGGGCCGTGGGTGCTCGTTCTGGAGAAGCTGCAGGCACCCACGGGACCACAACCTCCCGGCCATACCATCTCAGGGAGTGGCAGCTCAAGGCATCTCGGGGAAGCCTCAGTCACTGTCTGCTGTGGGGTGTGGGTCTTTACTTTCGCCTGCTCAAGCCGGGAATGCTCTATTTTTTATTGGCAATCCTTCGTTTCCTTGTTGCCAGCATGTCATAGAAGGGATCCCTACTGATACTCGCCCTGGTGAAAAAGGAAAACAAGCAGGTCAAGTCAGAGGACGGCGCTGGCCGTGGGGAGCACAAACCTCTCTCCCACCACCCGTGGAGGTTCCTGGAACAAGACGGACTGTGAGTTGTGAGGCGGCTTCAGCAGCCCAGGCCTCCTGGGAGTCTCTGGAGGAAGAAGGGTCACTCCTTGCACACGGTAGCATCTGTGTCCTTAGGCAGGCGTACTCGTGCACAACTCTCCCCCACCCCCCACAACTGAACCCTGTGCCGAGGCCCCGCACTCACCTGATGGATTTCATCCACTCCTCCTTCTCCTCAGGGCTGGGGGCGGAGATCCGGTACACCACATGGTTCCCCTCCACCACGCGGCCGTCTGCTTCCGTCTTACAGGCTTTGATGACCTGCCCTTTGTGGCTTGGATTATAAAGCTCAAAACAGTTCTGGTGGAGAAAGAAAGAGAGGAGAGGCCGTCACAGGGGCTCTAGGGGAAGGTTCTCGTGTAGCCAGTGAGTGTGGGTCCCAGCTGGTTGAAAGGAGAGAAGTTGTAAAAGGAAGCAACTTACAGGTTTCCGGGGGTCTTCAACCTCCCTGATGCTGAGATTTTCCAACGGGATGATTCCCCTGGGCTCCTTATCCTGCAAGAGAAAGGTGCACTGCTGGACCCACTGCAGGTCACTGGCCTGAGGTTCCCCAGCACAGGGGTGGCTCATGAGGAGGACCAGGCAGGCTGGCCCTTACTTACTGTTGTGTATTCAAAGTAATAGAGGCAGTTATCTGTCAGGATGAACCACCGGCGCTTCCAGGTCTTCACGCGCCCTCCTAGAAGCAGAAGGGCCTCATGAGTCAGGAGCTCCGTGCTGCAAGGGCCCGAGGGCCCAGAAAGGGGGCCCAGGACCTACACAAACTACTGCATTTTCAGAAAGGCCACCAGGAGCCAAGCTTGCATAAGTATCCTTCGATGTTCTGACTGCAGTCAGCAAAGTCCTGGATGAGCTGTGTGGCCTGGCTGTCGAGTGGGCCCCGCATGCACCCCCACCCAGGCCCGCACAGGTGCCCCCTCACAGCACCGTGGGGCACCCTCAGTGACACAATCGCTTTTCAAATCTGCTTCCTGGAAGGGTTAGTCGTAGTGGATGGGCGTAATTTCCCCACATGAAATGACAACATGATGAAGTCAGTGCTGGCCCACCCGGGTCCATCCAGGGCTTAATCCTGTTACGTCAGGGTGGTTATCACATTACTGAGTGCTTTGGGCGGCCCTGGTTTCCATCAAAATCAATTACCCCTTGGCCCAGGGAATTATTACATTGAATTAATCTTTTAGCAAGATCTGGAGCACACGTGTACACACACACACACACACACACACACACACACACACACACACGGCTCATCTGTACCTACTCTCCTTTTACTGCAGGAAAGGAATTCTCTTTTACCCTTAAATATTCAGAGACAGTCAAACTGACTTCAACTGCTAGCCCTTGCTTCTGACATGAAGTTTTGATGTGTTTAAATAATTCAAAGAGAAAAACATGCCCATGGCAACAACTCCAAGTACTGTGTGGGCACTAGGTGAGAAGCGGCTCTCCTGCCTCACAGTTCCCACGGTGGCTTTCTCTGCAACACGCAAGCAGGAGAGGAGCCCTTGGGGGCCGTGGGTCAGAGGCCCTCCTCAAATGGAGGCTGGTGCGGGAGCTGGGGCATGAAGACAGGGTGATGGGAGGGCCGTGCCAGTCACCAGGAAACATTGAGGGGTGCTGGGCATAATCCCTGGAAGCTGGATGTCCCCAGGGCTCAGGTGGGGGCTTCCCTGGCCTCTGATTGGGCTTTGGTTTGCACAGACCCAGGGTGAGGAAACTACCAGCTGCAGGAGGGAGGTGGCCCTGGCCTGGTGGTGCTGGAGTGTGGAGGGGCATCTCTGCAGCTGTCTGGGGCCCTCTTACCCTGCCTCACTCCTCAGCCCCTCCGATGGCCTAAGACAGCCTACTATGGGCCACAATCACCAAAGCATGTCCAGCTGACCCTCCCTTTCCCCAGACAGACCTGCCATGTGGCTTCATCTTCACCAGCATACCACCCCACCTATCAGAGGGTCTGTCCAAACACCCATCTGACCATGTCCCTCCCAAGATTGCCGCTGCATCTGTCCGGCCCTCAGACCCTCCCTGAGCCCCCTAGCTCATGCCTTCATGCCACAAGGCCTTTTTTCAGGATACTCCTCCAGCCTGGAGCAAAATTCCTTCTTGCCAACATCTCTCCTGACTTCTGGCCTGGGCTCCGGCTCCCCAAACCTGTGTGCAGCTTCACCACTGGAACCCTCTGCTCCTCATGGCATGGGGCACATCCTATTCATGTCCTTGGAGACCTAGCACAGGCGGGGCATGCAAGTCCTACAGCCCCCAGGGGCACCCGTGTCCCTGGTCTCATCTTGGGCTTCGTGATTCATGCCAGCCCTTGGCCATCAATTCTCCCAGGTCTGCTGGAACATAACAGGGAGGTCCAGTCCAGGGGTAGGAGGAGACCCTCTGGGCAACTTTGCCTTGTCCCAAAGTCCTCCAGTGACATGAGGGACATAGGGACAGAGAGAGGCATTCTATGTCCCCCTAAGAGCATGGGAACAGGAAGACAATGCTGATTCTTTCCAGACACTTGCCCCCAGTCCTGAGATGCTACAGTAGAATCAGCTGACAGCAACCTCCACCACTCTGACATACATCACTGCCACCTCTGCCTCCTTCCAGAGACTTCCAGAGCAGGCCCTTCTCTAGCTGTACTGGTGCCTGGGCCACTGTCCTCCAAACAGCAGCCAGAGACATCTTTTGAAAAGCATGTGTTGACCACGTCTCCCTGCTTGAAGCCCCCAAACAGCCCAACTGTGTGCAAATGAGACCCACACTTTATGGACAGCCTCGAGTTCTCAGAACATCGGGCCAAGAGCCCCCAGACTGTCCATCCCTGTCTGTGTCCAGCACCTGCTCTTCTCTTTCGCGCTTTCATAGTGGATGATTAAGGACAGGTCTGTGCATTCTGCTCACCTCTACGCGGCCTGGCCCCATGCAAGCGGGTTTCCCAGAAAGGCCTCTCATCTCCTACCCTGGACTCCAGCCTCGCACTGTACCAGTTGGCAGCATGTCTGAAGAGCCCAATCCCTGTCCAGTCCTCAGGGCCAGGGGAGCCCCCCACAGGCTAGGGCTGCAGATGCCCAGACTGAGGTGTGTCATCTAGGCCAGCCCCAGAGCCCAGTGCAGCCCAGGCACCCTCTCAGCTCAGACTTGGGTCCAAAACAGCCAGGGTGAGGTCCTTGGTCTCAGAGCCACAGCAGGTTCTATTCACGTGTGTTTCTGGCCACACACTCTCAACTACAGACAGGAGTCTGGCTTCACCTAAATGGTATAAGACCCACCGTCTCTTTGTAAATTTCCCTCTCCTTTCATTGCTGTTCCCAGGTATGTGCACATGTGTAACCTGTGTACACCTGCATGAACAGGCATTCCCATATACCTTTTCTCCTCAAGTTTCTCAGCTCAACTCTGACCACATCCTATGTTTACAATACAGTTGCCCGTCAAAACTCAGTGTCTTAAATTACTTGACAATCATAAGCCACACATGCACATACCACAATGCTCCTATGCTCTGGCAAAGCATTCAGGTCTTTTTAAAAGACTACCTGCGGGGCCAGGCGCAGTGGCTCATGTCTGTAATCCCAGCACTTTGGGAGGCCAAGGCAGGGGGATCCCTTGAGGCCAGAAGTTTAAAACCAGCCTGGGCAACATTGTGAGACCCCCACCTCTTAAAACAAACAAACAGCAAAAAAAAAAACCCAGGAAAATTAGCCAGGCATGGTGCACCTGTAGCACTAGTCACCTGGGAGGCTACAACGGTGCTGCCGCACTCCAGCCTACAGCCTGTGTGAGAGTGAGACCCTGTCTCTTAAAAAAAAAAAAAAAGACAAGACAAGAAAAAAAGACCACCTTCTCTAAAATTCAGTTTACAGTAAGAATTCGATTAAAGCTGGATTACACTTCTGAGTGCATGCTTGGAAATACACATTCTCGATTCTGCACCCATCTCATGCCTCTAGCCAAGACCCTGTGTCCCGGCTGTGCTAGCCCTGTGCTGGGGAGGGACTCTGTGACCTCAAAGTAGGACCACACCTGGGGCTGACACAATGAGCCTTCAGAATTGGCTTCTGGTACCTCTGCTGTCTTCCCAGCCCTGTGGGGACCGACACCACCTGGCCATCTAGTGTCAGGGCCTGCGCCTCGGTGCCAACAAACTTGGCTCCTTTGCATGGCTGGGAGGAGGCCCATGGGCAGAAGCATTTCTGGGTACCCAGAAGCTCTGGAAAGAAAACCCAGTACTGGTTAATCCAGCCCACCAGAGAGCTGGGAAACCTGCTCTAGGGATGGTGACAGCTTGCAAGTGTTTAGTCTTGGACTCAACTCCTGAGAACAGAGCGGACATAGAAGCTGCCCGGGCAAGAGAGGGGCCAAGGGAGCCAGTGCCACAGAGCAGCCGCCTATTTGCTGAGGCCGCCCCAACCCTGTGCCGAAGCAGCTCCTGCTGTGCTCCTTGCCCTCGTCCTGGACTAGGTTAGACAACACAGGCTCTGCCATGCCTTCCTTTCATTCGCTCATTTATGTCTTTACAGCCAGCCCCCTCCCTGGCAAAACTGAGGCCACTCTAGCTGCCAGGCACATTGACAGTGTCACTGTCCCTCAAGGGGGCACTTGCGGGCACTGTGGGAAACAGAAGGGAGGCACTGAATCTGGCAAATGCCCCACCTATTCCAGCCCTTGTGCAACTGCCGGTGTTCTGATGCATCCCTCCTCTCGCTCTCACTCCAGGCCTACGGGTGTGACGAGACCTGAATAAGGTGTAGATCTAGGGTCATTCAGGCACCCAAGTTCAAGGCCAGGTTTTTAGGGAAACATCCAGAACTCCCCTAAACCTCAGCATAGCCAGAAAAGGCCACAAAGCAATGGCCAGGGCTGAAGACCCTCGTGGGAATGGCAGAGCCATGGGGCACATCCTGTCCCATGAGCTAAAGGAGGACTGTGCCTGTCACATTATCATCATGCCATGTCCCTTCCTCCCTCACTAAAATTAAAAAACATCAGAATTCTTGAGCTCTTGTGTCTTAGATGCTACATAGCAACAATCTATTCTCAGAAGTGCTTGGGTAAAAGACAGTTGTCACATCTTTACTGTCAGTGTAAGGCAGAAATCTCCCCACCACCCGCTCCACCCAAGTCAAAATAACCCTTAAAAATTCCTAAAATTACCCATAAAGTATAAAAGCCGTCCAGCTTGTCAATGGTGAGGAAGCCTTTAGAACATTCCCAATCTTTTCATGGGGGGGTGCAAACATGCACGGCTGGTTAGTATGAGGGGTGACTGGTGATGCCGCAGGGACAGGGCTGGTGACCAGCTTTCTCACTGCTGCAGACCCCAAAGACAAGTGGGGCAAGCCTGTTCCCACACAGCATCCCCATGTGCTCCAGGTCCCCGCCACTCTCGGCCCTGCCCTTGGGGGTGGGTGTTGCATTCACCACACCGTGCACGACGCCGACCCCAGCAAGTCCAAAGCCAAATGGATCAGATGAATGGCAGCCACAGATCGGAGCTTCACACAGAACAACGTGAGGGAGAGAAACCGAGAGAGGAATGAGCCGCTGAGGGAGGGGCAGGAAGCCACTGGGTACGTACCTCCTAACGCAGGACAAGCAGGGACAGCCCATCACAGAACAGAAAGGTGGGAGCCACAGGCAGAAGGAAAACAACAAGAAGGCACATTTAAACCACGCGTCAGAAATCACAGCCACGCCAAACCACAAGAAAGGCACACAGGCTCTTTGGAGATAAATGCACTTGCTTCTCGTACAGAAAACTGCCCTGGATTTGTCTGGACACTAACTTAGCAGTTTTCTGGGACGGGTCGTGCAGCCTAGGCATTATTCTCTGCCATGGACACTGCGAGGGGGGCCTCGCTCTGAGATGCTACAGTTCAGAGAAGCGGTCAGCGGTTGTGGGACATGAGGATACCAAGAGTGGACTCTGGCTTAACTGCATTTTCTTTTTATCACCTCTGCATGTAGTTAGGGGCATTTGCTATGATGAGCTTGGGAGGAACCCCTTGGGGGCTGCTGCCGTGGGCTGAGGGGCTGCGGCCCGGGTCCCACTCGGCGAGGCCACTCACCCAACTTCAGGAGCCAGCCTTCCCGGTCAGGGTTGAAGAAGGTGTGCGTCAAGTCATTCCCATCGTCCTCTGGGATTTTAAATGGCTCATTCTTAATACTTTCATACAAATTCTGCAAGGAGGAAAAAACCAGCAAAGTCAGCAATTCAAACAGAGAAGGGCCCGTCCTTTCTCTCTCTGCCAAGCACAGAACTGGCATAAAACTCAGCAGAACCAGGGTGGTAAGGAGACTCTAGAAAGATGTGTTTAGAGCAACAGACTGGTGCTGCTGATTTTCATAGAATTTGATAATCCTGAAGATTAAACCCCCTCCCGAGACACAGCTCACAAGCAGGCTCCTGTCAGAACTCACCCTCAGCAACTCCTCAGGGAGGTCCCCGCCCTCATTGATGCCGCGGTTCATGGTTATGAATCGCTCTGCAGTGGGCTTGTCACGCACGTTGTGGTTGTGCAGGCTGGTGTTGAGCATGATGATTGCAAACGACAGCACATAGCATGTGTCTACAACACGGAGGAAGACAGCAGGAGGCTCAGCCACACGTAGAGAGTGTGGAAACCCATGTGTGTTGCAGGCACACCCTGCTGAGGATACCTGGGAGGGGGCGCCTGATCCCACAGGCCCATCCTCTGAAGTGGCAGCTTCCTGCGAGTGTTAGCAGGTCTGACCAGTGGCCATAGGCAGGCCTGTCCCACCTAGGGGAAGGCAGGTCCCTGGGAACACATGCTAGGACTGTGCCTGCCAGGGGGCCCCTCTTCCAGACCCAGAGGCTTTGGCCAATGAGGGGTCCAGGCTCAAGCTCTGCACTGACCTGTGGACTGGAAGACCCCAGGGTTGCACAAGCAGTAGCGAGAAGCGAAAGCCTCCATCATGCGATCAATTTTCTGAGCCTCCCCTGGAAGTCTGAAGCTCCACAAGAACTGCCTGCAGAGAAACAAAAACCTCATGGAATGACCGTGCATGAGAACCGACCCAGCCTCACGGCACAAAGGGCAACTTCTTCCCAGCCTGGGGTACAGCTCTGGTAGGGGGATGGAGGGGCACAGAGCTGGGAAGGAGAAGGACTCAGTCTCCCTCCATTCAATAATCCAAGACACATTTACTGATTGCCCATCTTTTTTTGTGACTATAACCATTTCAGCAGCAAGGCCTGTTGCTTCCACCTTAAAATAAACGTCCAGGACCCCTGCACTTCTCCACCACCATCTGCTCCTGCCAGATGATCACCAGAGCCCTGCCCCGTCCCCATCATGCAGTCCTGACAGGACCATGTTCCCTCTCAGGATTCCCACCCACAGGACAAAGCCATAGTTGACAGAATGACTTCCAAGGCCCCACCCACACCGACAGGTGCCTTGCTGGGAAGACACACCCCAATCTCAGTCCTAGCCTGCAGATACTCCCGTCCTCAGATAGCCCCTGCTCACCGAGGTCTCCTGGGGCTGCCCTGCCTAGAACTGCTACCCCCAACCCCCTTCTCTGTCACCCACCACCACCAAGTCCCTCCATCCACTACCTGCTACTCCTTGGCTGGAAGCCCCAGGGCAGGGGCTGCAGCCTGTCTTATTCCCTGCTGGTCCCCATGGCCGGCCATGACCTCACACACCAGCTGCTCAGCGACGACTGATGCTGCAGTAGATTTAACACAAGGACTAGGGCTCAGCTCAGGGTAGACCTAAGGGCTCCAATTAAATTTCTGGGCTGTCCGCAGTATTAAAATATCAACCCTACCAGCGATCAGATGGGAGGACATGCTCTCACCCCTCCTGGGGCTCTTGCTCCTCTGCAAGTCCCTTAAACAGGGCTGCTCTCTAGCGTCCCTCCTCTGTTATCTCTCCTGGGATTCCAGCCACATTCAGGACCCCCTCAGCCAGGATCCATCTCCTTGGCCCAGCCTGTATCAACAGCCTTCCAACTCCACGTGGCTATCCATCCTCTGCTCTCTTGGGCCAGCAACTCCGGGGCCATCCCTGACTCTCCTTCTCTCTGCCCCATGTTCACCAGCAAACACCGATCCTGTTCACTGCTGCACCCCACAGCAGGTGATATGCTCTAAGTCAGCCTGCCTGCCCTCTGCCCCTCACAGGTTTCCCTCAGAGTAAAAAAGCCAAAATTCTTAGAGCAGCTCCTCAGACTAGAGGACCTGCCCCCACCCCCAACCCCATGCCCTCACCTGGCCTACAGCAGGGCTGCGCCAGACTTTAACACCTGTGGGATTTATTAGGAATTTCTTTGGCTCTGGGCCAGAGACCAACAGACAAAAAGAAATGAATCACAGCTACAATGGCCATGCTGAACACACCTCCCAGACTCTCCAGGCCTGCACGTCTCCCTGGATGTACAGCTTTCAAAAAGTGAATCTGATAAACCTGAATTATGGCTGCAGGCTTCACATCTGTTGCTAACTATCAGCACCATTCAGCCCCAGGCTGAGATGCTGAGCATGTCACAAGGATCACATAGAAACACTGCCAATACTTCAGTATGCAGCTGAGGTAAGGCCACATAAACTAGAACAGAGTATGGAGAGAAGTTCTGAGACCACTAACTAGACATGGCAGCCATGATTTCCTCAGCCAGAGAACAGGCAGAAGTGGCTCCCAACAGAGGTCCTGCTCCTTCCCTACCCCACCCCTCAAGCCAGGCCCTGGTTGCTGCTAGGTGATAGCTCAGGATCAAGACCGGAACAGAGAAAGAGCCCACGAGGCCCCACTGGACACCAAGGAAGGAAACAAGAAGACTTTGTTTGAGCAGTGCAGGAATGGCAGCCTGAAGGTGTCCAGGAAATGCCCATGGAAGCCATAACAGAGCCACAGGAGGGTGTCTCAGGGCCATCCTCCTCCATCCACCCCAGATGACAGACAGGGAGGCTGGCTTTCCTTGGACAAGATGGGACTAGAGGTGGCCTCCTATGGTGGGAAGTCTACAGCCCCCCTCGCACACTTGGGGCAACCATGCACTTGGTACTTGAAGCCAAATCTGGCAGAAAGTGGGCCTGCATGGAGCTGAAGCCACGCCATACAGAGCATGGGAAAAAAGCATGCACACAGTTGCCAAATATCATTAAAGATGAAAAAAAGGAAACTGCAACTAGAAGGCAGAACCAGCAGTCACAATGAGGAAAGTATGACACCTATCCTTGAGTGTGTGTCCTGCTTTCTGTCTAGGGTTGCTGAATGTCCTGCAACATTCGTGGCATCATCTAGAACAAGGAGCCAATGTCTGCAGAGACTCCTACAGCTCCTCGAGCTGCCCGGAGTGAATTAACAACCACTACTGCTCTGGCAGCAATTTTCTGGCCTTCCCCATCTGGTCCACACTCCACGTATAATCAAATGCTAACCTTAAGGCTTGTACGAGGTTGAGATCAGCAAACTCATGGAGTTCTACAAAAGCTTGAAGAACTTTAATATTAAATTCATCCCTAGAAAAGAAAAGAAATAAGTTTTAAGCCTAATGCACATCATCTCAATTATTTTAAAAGAAAAACATATCCCATTTGAATAGTGTAGCTATGAACATTCATGCACGAGTCTTTCCGTGACCACACATTTTTATTTCTCTTGGGTATATACCTAGGAGTGGAATTACTGGGTTACGTGGTAAGTTTGTGTTTATTCAGCATTTTGAGGAAATGCCAAACTTATTTCCAAAGTACCCGTTTACATCCCATCAGCAATGTATAAGTCCACATCCTTGTTGACATTTATGATGTGTTTATTATAGCCATCATAATGAGTATGAAGTGGCATTCTCATTGTGGTTTTGATTTGCATTTCCTTGATGATTAATTACTTTAAGCACTTTTTCATGTGTTTTTGGCCATTTGTATATCTTCTTTGGAGAAATGTCTATTCAGATCATTTGTCAATTTTATTAATATAACTGAGTTATTTTTATTTTTGCTCCTAGTTTTAAGAGTTCTTTGTATATTCTAGATATAAGTCCTTATCAGGTTTATTTATGATTTACAAATATTTTCTCCTGTTCTGTGGCTCATATTTTCACTTTCTTGAGGGTATCCTCTGAAGCACAAAATATTTAATTTTGATGATATCCAGTTTACCTTTTTCATTTGTTGTTTGTGCTTTTGATGTTGTATCTAAGAAACGCTTGCCTATTTCAAGATCACAAAGATTTACCCCTGTGTTTTCTTCTAAATGTCTTATAGTTTTAAGTTTTTAGATTTAGGTCGTTGCTCCATTTTAATTTTTGTACATGGTAAGGGGTCCGATTCCATTCTTTTGCATGTGGATTTCCAGTTGCCCCGCCACAATTTATTGAAAAGATTTGTCTTGACACACTTGCTGAAAATCATTTCACAGTAAATGTGAAGGTTTATTTCTGGAGTCAAAAAAAATTTTTTTTTTTTTTTTTGAGACAGAGTCTCACTCTGTCGTCCCAGCTAGCATGCAGTGGCATCATCATAGCTCACTGCAACCTCAAACTCCTGGGCTCAAGCAATCATCCCTGCCTCAGCCTCCCTAGTAGCTGGGACTACAGGTGCGTGCTACCATGCCTGGATAATTTTTTCTATTTTTAGTGGAGACGGGGTCTTGCTGTTGCTCAGGCTGGTCTCGAACTCCTAACCTCAAGCAATCCTCTGGGCCTCCCACAGTGCTAGGATTATAGGCATGAGCCACTGCACCCAGCCTGGATTAGAAATTTTATTCCATGATCTATATATCTATCCTTATATAGTCCTACACCGTCTTCATTAGTGTAGCTTTAGTCTATTTTGTAATTGAGAAGTGTGCTCAACTTTTTTTTTTTTTTTTTTTTTTTTTTTAAGAATTCTGTGGCTATTCTGGAGTCCTTGAATTTCCATATTAATTTTAGGATGAGCTTGTCAACTTCTGCAAAGAAGTCAGCTGGGATTTTGATAGGGAGTGCATTAAATCTGTAGATCAATGTGGAAAATACTGCCGTCTTAGCAACAAGTCTCCTAATCCATGAACATGGGCTGTCTTTCCATTTATTTAGGTCTTTTAATTTTTGTCAGCAATGTTTTGTAGTTTTCAGAGTAAAAATTTTGCACTTCTGTTAAATTTATTCCTAAGTATTTTATTCTTTTTAATGGAGCTATTTTTTTAATATCCTTTTTGGTTCACCCATTGCTACCATACTATATAGAAATACAACTGAACTTTGTATATTGCTCTTGTATCCTGCAACCTTACTGAACTTGTTTATTATTTCTAATAGTTTTTTGATGATTCCTTAGGATTTTCTACATACATGATCATGTCATCTGCAAAGAGAAATAGTTTTATTTCTTCCTTTCTAATCTGGATGTCTTTACTTTCATTTTCTTCCCTAACTGCCCCGACAAGAAGTGCCAGCACCAGGTTGAACAGCAGTAGTGAGAGCAGACAGCTAGCCAGCCTCGTCTTGCTCTTAGGGGGAAAGCATTCTGCCACCATTAAATAAGATGTTATGTTGTGGGTTTTTCATAGGTGCCCTCCATTATGTTGAAGAAGTTCCCTTCTAGTCCTAGTTTTTTGAGTGTTTTTATAATGAAGCAGTGTTGAATTCTGACAAATGCTTTTCTTGCATTTATTAGAATGATCATGTGGATTTTGCCTTTTATTCTACTGTGATAATATATTACTTTAATTGACTTTTGTATGTTGAAGTAACCTTGTAGTCATGGGATAAATCCCACTCAGAGCATAATTCTTTTTAAGTATTGTTGGATTTAATTTGCTAATAATTTGTTGAGATTTTTGCTTCTATAGTCATAGAGATATTATTGGTTTGTAGTTTTCTTGTGATACCTTTGTCTGCTTTGGGTATCTGGTAGAAATGGCCACACAGAATGAGTTGGGAAGTGTTCTACTTTTGATCAAGTATTTTCAATATAAAGCTAGAAACAGAAATCAACTTAATTTAGCAACTCTTGGGCTTTTGTTTAAAAACACTCTTTTGGTCCTTGACAAAGTCTATTTTGGCACATTCAGGGATGTGCTGCCTTAGCATTCTTGCCCTAGCCTCTGCTAAGCATAGTAAATGGACTTTTAGTGGAGAAGGTTGAGAAAATAAATCTGACCTGCTGCTTTTCATTTAAAAAAATTGATAATTTTACACCTTTACTCATACCCCAAGTAATAAGGGAAAGAAAACCACTAAGAAATCTGGTATATTTCTGGGCAAAATGAAAGATAATTAAGTTGTTTTTCCAAGAGCAAGAAAAAGAGGCATGGCATTGTGGGTTCTGTCATGGTTCCCCTGAATAAAGGATTCCAGAGGAACACAGATCCTACCTGGCCCCAGAATACCTCAACACCTCTCTCTCCTCACACAGACTCAGGGGAGGAAGTGTCTGCACTGAGGAGGAGCATGTGTACCCCAATAGCCCACCAATAGCTCATAGCTATGTCATGCCCCACAGGCTGTAAAAACCCCTAAAGAGGAACATGAGCGCAGGCCAGGCTGCAGGGCCAGGTGGGCCCACGTAGAGCTGCTCATCCTCCTTCAACTTACCTTTCCCCCAGATAGTCCCCAATGACAGTCTTATTTAGGCCTTCTCCTTTATAAAGGAACTGGGCGACGTCTTCTGGGGAACTCTGTAGCAGGTCATTTTCTATTAGAAACTGAATTCCCTAAAGCAGAACATTAGAAAGGAAGCACTAGTTAGGAGGGACACTCAAACTCATTTTTTAAAGACAGAAATACACTCAGTGTAATGACCTTACTGGTTTGGACACAGCAAAAATAATACCAGAGAGACCCATACAACTGCACGATCTGATTTTCACAACACCATACTACATTTTATCTGTCAAAGGAAAGCACAGTTATTCCTCCTGGCAAGTTAACAGGGTAAAAGACAAATAAATGGGTTACTGAACAAACCATTGTAAGTGGTTATTAGAAATTATAAAGGCAGAAATAACAGTAATATCAGATTTCCCAAACTTAGGAAAATGATCTGTCTTGTGTCTGGGAGGAACACACTGTACGTTATAGATGCTGCTGGTTGGCCAATCCAATAGCCATCCCAACCTCCTTTTTCCCTGTCATCCTTCACTAGATCATCAGATTCCCAGCCTCCCTTGAAACTAGAAATGACCTTATGATACAGATCTGGCCAGACAGAAACACATGGGAAATAGTAACTCCCGAGCTGACACTGTTCCTCTTCTTCCTTCCTGCCTTAAACATAGATGGATGACCAGAACCAAGGTGGTCACCTTATAAGGGAAAGGCCAAGATGAGCACCAGGGTCCTCACTCCTGCCACTTGGGAGCCACCTACTGCTACAGCAGCTCTGTGAAAAGATGAACCTCCATTGTGTGAATTACTTTTCACTGGATTTTGTTATCTGAAGCAGAAAACATGTTAACAGACAACACTGTGCCACCAAGCTGATGCCAGTCAAAACTCATGCTGTCCACTTCAAGGGCCTACAGCATAGTTGACAATCTCAAAAGGCAAGAGGCTGCCCCTGTCCTGAGTCAGCTCCATTCTGTCTCCTGGGAAGCCCCAAGGACCTATAACAGCAGCAAAAATTTACTAGCTTCAGAGCTGGTTTCAAAATAAATGTTGGCAATGTTAGTAATAAAGAATTCAAGAATTTATTTGCCAGGAGGCTATTTCTATAAATTCAGAGAGGCTCTTACAGCTAAAATTCTCAATGCCTAAGACTAAGGCTGCCTCATGCCCTGATGGTCCATCTGGAGATTTTCTATTATTTTTTAAATACATGAACATCCACAGCAGCCTTATTTACAATTTCCAAACACTGGAAACAACCCAACAGTCAGTCAATAAGAGAACAGATAAATCCATTCTGGTATATTCATATGATGGAAGACTACACGCAATGAAATGGAATGCACACTTAATGGCATGAATCAATCTCACAGACATGATAAGGACTAAAAGATGACACAGACTAGTATGTTTTAATTCCATTCATAAAGGTTTAAAAAAGGCAAAACTAATTTATGGTGATAGAATGAATATCAGTTACCTTGGCAAATGAACTCATTAGGAGGAAAAGGTGCTCTGTAATGTTCTATAATGATATCTTATTCTGGGCTGTAGTTACATGAGTATATTAATTTGTAAAGATTCTTTGAACTGTACATTTGAAATTTGTGTGCCATGCTATGTGTTATTCTCCAAAAAATTAACAAGTTGGACAATCCTAAATTAATTCTCATATGTTTCTGGTGGGAATTTAAATGGGTACTATCTAAATCTCAAGACACGCATATGTTGTAACAACAAAGTTCTAATCCTAAAATATGCCTGTCCCAGCCCAAGTTCCCTGAAAACAAAGCCTGGGACAGGAATGACCGCACTGGCTCTTTGCTATTCACTTTATATGAGGAAACAAGCGAGGCAAGTTGAGAAGCCAGTGGCTAGAGGTGGGCAGGGAGAGACAGGGCTGCCCTCAGGGATCACTAGTGGTCCTGCAATCTCTGCAGTCACAAGGCTGGAGGCCCGACCATGCACAGCTAAGGCCCTGGCCACTGTTAGCCGAAGCCCCCCAAACTGAATGGGCTTAGGGGTGAAGCTTTTGTGAGCTCTTCTGGATATTTATGACCTGCCCATAAGTTCAACACTCCCAAAAAACTAAGACGTTTTTTACAGAGTGCTATGAAATAACCTATAGGGATTTGAGAAAAGCAAACGGGCTCAGGACAAAGTGATTTCTTCTGTGGCCACAAAGGTCACATAACGAAGGCAGAGGAGGCCCTAACGAAGCTCCAGCTTCCTTTGCCAGAGACTGAGACTCTGGTTGTGGAAAACAGAGTCACTGGGTAAGTTCAGGCCAGAAACCACAAGAGAAAATGGAGTTGAAAGCCAAAGGGAAAGAGACCAGTTATGATTAAGAAAGGAATTGCACCTGGGAGGTGAGACAGAGAAAAGCTGAGGGGCAGGAAGACACAGAGCAGGCCTGCTGTGAGTCCAGTGGCATGTGTCCTCAAGAGAGACAGAGAGGGGAAGGCCGTGTGATGATGGAGGTAGGTTGGTACGATGCAACCACAGCCAAGGAGCACCAGACAGCCAGCAGCCACCAGAAGCCAGGAGAGAAGCATGAAAGGGAGTCTCCCTCAGAGGTGACCTTGAACTTCTAAGCCTCCTGAACTGTGAGATAATAGATTTCTGTTGTTTTAAGCCACCCAAGTTTGTGGTCATTTGTTACAGTAGCCCTAGGATACTAATATACACTCGGTAAATGCTCACAAAAGAAGGCCAGTGTTCCAAATTTAGAAATCCTATTTTATTCCTGTCTTTCATCGTTAGAATTTCATCTTAGAATTTTAACAAATATTTAAACTTATATTTATCTATCAACATCTAGAAAACCGTAGCCAACTGTTACTTCCCTCCTTCCTTTCTCCTTTGCTACTTATATATTGAGATAAACTGAGACTTTAAAAAAAATTTTTAAAAAAATTTTTTATAGAGGGTTCTCATTGTATGTTGCCCAGCCTGGCCTTAACCAATCCGCCCGCCTCAGCCTGCAAAGGAGCTGGGACTACAGGCACGCACCACTGTGTCCAGCTAAAAAATATTTTTTAAATCATCAATTTCTCATTTATACTTACATAAGTTTTGTTGGTTTCTTTGTATGTCTTTCCTTTTTTATTCTGTGGATTCATTTCTTGTTTTGAGGTGCAATGCTCTAATCTCTCCATCACTACAGATCAAAGTCCTGGTGATTAACTTTTTGAGTCCTTGTACATCTGAACATGTCTCTACCTACGATCTCTTGTGAGTGACAGTCTGAATAGACAGAATTCTGGGTCTTAAATAATTTTTCCTCAGACCTTAGGTGACACAGTTTCCCTATCGTCTTTGATTTGGTGGGTCTCTGACAATAAGCTCATTGAGATTCTCATTTCTTCTTAGGTAATCTAGTCTTTTCTTCCTAGAAAATTTAATGAATTTCTCCTTATTATCAAGTTTTATGATATTTTACTTGATGTATCTATCTATAGATCTTTTTGGGGGGTTTTTTGTTTTTTTTTTTGAGATAGGGTCTTGCTCTGTTGCTCAGGCTAGAGTGCAGTGGTGTCATCACAGCTCACTGCAGCCTCAAACTCCTGGGCTCAAGAGATCCTCCTGCCTCAGCCTCCCAAGTAGTTGGGACTAAAGGCATGAGCTACCACGTCTGGTTTTCTTTCTTTTCTTTTTTTGGTAGAGATGGGGTCTCACTTTTGCTCAGGCTGGTCTCAAACTCCCGGCCTCAAGCAATCTTCCCGTCTTGGCCTCCCAGAGTGCTAGGACTACAGGTGTGAGCCATCGCACCCGGCCATACGTGTAGATTTTTTAAAAATTTATCCTGCTTGTCATTTGGTGAGGCTTTTTGGATCTAAGGATTTTCTCTTAGTCTAGCTCTAAAATATTCCAAAATTTCCTTGAAATTTCCTCCATTTTCCATTCTCTACTTCTGAGAATTCTACCAGATGAAATTTGGGCTGCTGGACCAATCGTTCATGTCTTGTTGCAGTGCTGTGCAAAATCATATAAAGAATTCTTCCTCTCTCTCTCTTCTAGCACACTAATCCACTCTTCAGCCATATCTTCTCTCTGATTCAGCCCAGTGCTCAAGTTATCATGTGACACTCCTATTTTGCATTTCCAAAGTTCTTTTTCACAGCGTTTTTGTATCATGGATAAGATAAATCCTACCATAACCCTTTCATGATCTTTATAATACAAACATCCTACTTAAAAAAGTTTCTTTCTTTTGTTTCTGTTTTGTGTATTTCCTCCAGCATTAGTCCTTCTATTTGTCCAGATTCATGTCTCTTTCACAGTGTTGGTTTCCTCCAATGTTCGGTGGTACTTGGCTGGCTGGGTGTTCATCTGTGTATTTAAAGGTCACTGTTAAACCTGTTAACAGAATAAGGTCTGCTTCTGGTTTTTACTGCAGCTGCCTCCAGCAATGTGGCAGAGGAGCAGGTTAGGCAGCCAGGTGCCAGGGTACCAACAGCTGGTCTCTGGGAGTGGGTCTTTCTCCTCCTTCTTAGTGCTGCCAGCCACTAGGATGCTACCTGCTTTCATGCACTAAGTGCTCCCTCCTGCTTTTCCCACCTGGGGGCACACATCACTGCTTTGCTCAAGTTCAGCAAAGGGTGAACAGTCTCAATGTCCCTACTACAGTCTTTTTTTTTTTTTTTTGAGACAGAGTCTCACTGTGTTGCCCGGGCTAGAGTGCCGTGGCATCAGCCTAGCTCACAGCAACCTCAAACTCCTGGGCTCAAGCGATCCTCCTGCCTCAGCCTTCCGAGTAGCTGGGACTACAGGCATGCGCCACCATGCCTGGCTAATTTTTTCTATATATTTTTAGTTGTCCAATTAATTTCTTTCTATTTTTAGTAGAGACGGGGTCTTGCTCTTGCTCAGGCTGGTCTCGAACTCCTGAGCTCAAACAATCTGCCCGCCTCGGCCTCCCAGAGTGCTAAGATTACAGGCGTGAGCCACCGCGCCCGGCCAGCAGTTCTTTCTTATGTGTGTTTTGGGCATTGTTTCCTTCTTCCACTGATCCTGTTTATTTTCTTTCTTTTAAGGATTCCTCAATTTCTACTCCACTGACTGAACTCCTACTTGTTATATAGATTTATATTTTTTTATTTAAGGAACTTCCAGGAAATTGATAATAAAAGGGAGAAGCTGTAGAGTGTTTTCAGCTTCCTTGATCTAATCAAAGCTTTCCTCTTATTTATTTATAAACTCAAGTGCTACTTCTAGAATTTTATATACCTGAACAAACCAAAGCTCCTTCCTTAAAATGTTATCACTTGGAAACTTAAAAAATTTCCTCCTAGCCCAAAAACATTTATTTACTCTGACAATATCTTCATGTTTCACAAAGTTACATAGTTTAATGGGGGGGGGGGCACTAGATATAATTTTGGACTGCCTCTGAAGCTTTTGAGATCATCCCGTGTAGTTATGAACTGAGTGTCTGTATCCTCCCAAAAATTCATATGTTGAAGCCCAATGATACAATCACCCCGATGTGATGGTATTTGGAGATGGCACCTCTGTGAGATAATTAGGGTTACATGAGGTCGGGGAGGGGGGGCTGGTCTGATGGGATTTGTGCTCTTATAAGAATACCCTAGAGCAAGCAAGCTTCCCCACTCCCTACCATGTGAGGACACAGCAGGAAGGCAGCTATCTGCAAGCCAGGAAGAGGGCCCTCACCGAAACCCAACCTTGCTGGGACCCTGATCTCACATTTCCAGCCTCCAGAACTGTGAGAAAATAATAAATTTCTGTTGTTTAAGCACCCAGGCTATGGTACTTTGCTATGGCAGCCCTAGCAGACTAAGAAAAGTGCTATGTCCAAGTCTACAAAACCAAGGAATTTTAATTTTTTCCCAGTAAAAGGGCACATGCAGACTAAATGTGCCATCTGCTTTTATCGAGCAACATAATTACAAATAAGTTGTCGGACAGAACCAGTAATTAATATAAAAAGAATCTTTTTGGTGAAGAGGAATGAAAAATGAAGGCTCCTGAGCAATTTGCCATAGTCCAGGCAAACCAGATTAAACAGCTACTTCCTCAGATGTGGTGAGGAAGACACCACACGGGTGACTAGTGGTCTGGGATTGTCCAGGCTGAGCTCAAGGCTACCTACCAACCCACCCCAGAGGCTCCCGTCCAGCTCACAGACACAGCAGCAGTTACAGTGCGAGTTCTGAGCCGGGTTCCTTGCTCAGGATGGTACTGAGTTCCTTAGTTGCTCTGTGCCTCATTCCCCAACTGTGAAACAGGAATGAAAATGAAAGCCCCTACACCTTATAAGGTAAGGACTAAAGTAAAGTGCTTCCTTATCATGGTTCCTGGCAAATAGTTAAGTTCTCAATGTCGGCCCTTATTACTATAAATCTGACACAAAATACATTTAAATAAGATGGGCAAGAACCTGACAGAGAGGAGTTCACAAGCATGAGGGTAAGTTCATGCTCACAGAGCTAAAACCTGATGCACAGTGGTAGCAGCACTTAAAAAAATAAGTAGTTGTTCCTATTTCATGAGATTAGAATTTATCCATGAACTTATCGGTGTTCTTATGCTGCACTTGGGTCCCTTTAAAACACAAGGTCCAGTTTTGAAAATTTCCACTTTTGTAAAGTATCTTGAGATGTTTCCAATGCTTATTAAATCTGCTGATAATTCTGTAGACTCAACTCCTAAAGAAAAAAAAACTGTAACTAACCTCAAATATCAAATCATTACCAAATTCACAAAAGTGACTCATTCCATTCTGGAGTTGATTTATGCCCCACAGGCAGAGAATTAGGAAGCAATAGGAAAAATTTCACAGTGCCTAGAGTGTCCAAATTAAACAAAAACCCTCTTCCAGCTGCAGATGTGCTAGACCTTAAGAAAATCCAAATCTGCAAATGGTAAACAGGGAGTAATGATACACATCTCTTTAAATATCATTTTTAACTGCACTTGCATTTATAAATGTAAGTTTACAGATCTTAAACCTTGTAAAATGTAATTCCTGCAATCAATAAACATTTATTGAATGAACAAATAATTAACTAATTAGCAGGAAGGCTCAATGTCAGAAAAAAAGTAAACTGTTAAAAGTGAACACTGATTAAAGACCATAAGGAATGCAGTATATCAGCTCTGCAGCTAGAAAACCTTTCCATGGACATATCGTCCCTCTCCTAGACCCTAAAGACTCAGTTTTACCCTTCCTACCTTTTGTTCTACCCGAATGAAAATGATGTTACAACTGAGTCACGTTTTCCAAAAACCTTTATAGATTCTGCCAAATCCTTTACTTCGATCTTAAAAACAAGAAGCTACCTGCTTCAGGTTTCACTGTTCTCAGATGGTTTCCTAAAAAATCCAACTTGAGGCCAGGGGCAGTGGCTCATGCCTACAATCTTAGCACTTTGGGAGGCTGAGGTGGGAGGATTGCTTGAGGCTAGCAGTTCAAGACCAGCCTGAGCAAAAGTGAGACCCCATCTCTACAAAAAATAGAAAAATTAACTGGGCATGGTGGTGTGCGCCAGTAGTCCCAGCTACTTGAGAGGCTGAGGCAGGAGGATCACTTGAGCCCAGGAATTTGAGGTTGCTGTGAGCTGTGATGACACCACTACACTCTAGCACAGCAACAGAGCCAGACTCTGTCTTCAGAAAAAAAAAAAAAAATCCAACTTGAGGAAAGAGCAAGATGTTAGCTTAAATCTGGAGAGATTTCTTATTCTTTCATACAGAATAAGAAATCTCTTTTTAAGGTGAATGGAAGGAATAAAGTCCTCTTATTTATACCATTTAACCCATCCAGATGATAAAAGTCTATAAACTCTGTACAATTGGATTCCACTCCTACCTCTGCCTCTTACTAATCATGTGATTGCCCAGCTATAGGGCCCAGCTCAAGAAGGAAGACAAAGGGAAATAAACCTGACAGCAAGGGGCTCTGCCTGGCTCCATGCTGGGCCTGCTGAGCTGTTCAAGAACTCCTGTGAGGCCATTTCCACATGCACAAGTCCACACTGAGAAAAAGGCCTTTCCACCCAGGGTGCCAGCCCAAGAGGATACTTCACTTCACCCATTCATGGGCAGCCCTTCTTCTGATAACAAATTTAACATCAATGCCCATTCTTTTTATGAAGTGATATGACCACTTCTGTCCAAAAGGGAGACAGCCATTAAAAATCAATCAATAAATCTCCTGCATGCATTCCAAAAAAACAAAGCATTCTCTTACCTTTTTGGGATCCATGTTGAATTTCTTTCTTCCCATAGCTATTTGCTTGTTCCTCTGAGTAGTTTTGCTATTCACGTGAAATAATTTAAAAAATTATTGGCAGGTTTTTTCACAGAGCAGTGACTTTCTGCTCTCTTGCAGTGCAACTGAGTCATGGCCCTTCAGCGTATTCCCTCTCAACTCAATGAAGGAAAGCACAGGCCCTCTTGAAGGGGCCCTCCAGCCTCCGTGCTGGAAGCAGGAGTTATGTGGCAGCCTTCATTATTTTTAACATTAGATAACTTGACATATATTAATACTTCTTCAGAAAAGGCCAATGATCAAAACCAGTTATTTTAATAAAGCACAGTTCCTTATGATATAGATAGGGAATTTCTACATAGGTTGACTCTGAAGTGCCTGTGGTTATTCCCAAATCTACAAGGTAGACAATGACTCAGAATGACAGGTAACATCCTGAGATGCTCTGACCCATCCTTGAAGAGCAGGAAGGAATGGGGGTGGGGGAAGGGAAGAGGAATGAACAACTCCAAAGGCTCCCCACTTCCCAATCCCAACCCTTCTCACCCCTGCTGTAGTCATCAGTTCTTATAAGTTCAGCTGCAAGGTGAAGGTGGGCAGAAAAGAAATTAAATAACTTGAAGGTGTAGCCATAAACTGCTTACCTCTCCTCTACAGAAGTTAGATTGTCGATCTCTGTCATCACTTCTGCAATTTCATACTTCAGCCTCTGTCAAAACAGAAGGAATTTGGGGGCAGGGGTCTTAACCTTCCTCCTCCTAGACTCAGAGAAAGTTTAGCTTTCTAGGCACAGGCTTCCCTGAGGTCTCACCTAAGCACCACAGGGATGGGAAAACCAATATTTCTAACAATATGGCTAGAGCTCCATGGTCAACTCAGGAGAAAACAAAATTATTTGTCCACCTCTCATCAGATACTGGATCAGAGGAGTCCACTAGGCAGATAATAGGGTATTTGTGTGTAAAACCAGGAAGAGACACTAGACGAGTATATCACAGGTGTGAAAAGATAACACAGACCAGCAAAAGGAAAGCGATGAGTCCTGAGTTCACCTAGTTGCACTATTCAGCCTTGCCCTACTTATGTTCACCTACCTTCCCCTTCAATGCTACCTATGTTCTTGGAAGACCAGGGGAGAAGGTGAAGCTCAAACATGTTTAGGTTGGTATCAAGCTACTTAACTGTCAATCTCAGGATGATTTCTATCACTTCGTCTGAGATGAAGCACCATGGACAGAGCCCAGGGGGGAAAACAGAACTGCCCCACGACACTCAGAGAAGGGGACAAGACTCCCCTTTCCCTCAGTGTGGCCCCTACCGGGTGGGAGCCTCAGGGTAACCTTAGAAGAAAAATTTCCATGAATTACTTTTCAAATACAAAGACATTTTTATTCAGAACCCTATTACTGTATGCCAAGAAACTTCAGACTTAAAATGCAAGCTCCCAGAAAGGGGTTATTGTCTGGGACAAGGCCTAGCCTGTGAGGCCACATTTATTTTGGCAATGACAATGACTGGGAAGCTTCTCAAAGAAGAGCTGAATGTCTGATTGACTTTCCCAAGGAAGCCCCAAACACAAGGAGCCAGAGCTGGCCTTCTGAATAATTTCTGGAGCAATCATAGACACTCCAATTCTGAGATTGTGGTTTTATTCATTTGCTTCTCCTGTGGGACCTCCTCCACCCTGTCCCTCTGAGTAAAGTACACAAATGTGGGCCGGGCGTGGTGGCTCACGCCTGTAATCCTAGCACTCTGGGAGGGCGAGGCCGGTGGATCGCTCAAGGTCAGGAGTTCGAGACCAGCCTTAGCAAGAGCGAGACCCCGTCTCTACTAAAAATAGAAAGAAATTATCTGGACAGCTAAAAAAAAATATATATATATATAGAAAAAATTAGCTGGGCATGGTGGCGCATGCCTGTAGTCCCAGCTGCTCGGGAGGCTGAGGCAGGAGGATCACTTGAGCCCAGGAGTTTGAGGTTGCTGTGAGCTAGGCTAACGCCATGGCACTCACTCTAGCCAGGGCAACAGAGTGAGACTCTGTCTCAAAAAAAAAAAAAAAAAAAAAAGTACACAAATGTGGGAAAGATGATGTTTATTTTCCTGTGTTTTTATTTATCTTTAATTTGTGTCTACAAGGCACTTGGTACATAGCTGGAACCCAATATATGCCTAGGTGTTCATTCAAAGGATAGCTGAGTGCCAAAAATGGAAAAGGTAACATTCTAGGTGCTAGGGATAATGGTAAACGAAACAAGGTCTTATTGCACAATTTTAGAGAGCAATACTTTTGAGGATCACTGCTGGTTAAACATGCCAGTTATGGCCCTTGAGCCATAAGCCAATTGATCACTGCTGACTACAGTTCTACAATGTCTTGATTTCCAACCCAGGGTCTGCATGGACTGGTGTGTAGTCTTTGCTTCATCAACTGGGAAAACTCTTTTGCTTTGCCTCTTTGTGTGGTTCTTATATACACACACTGAACACCCATTTTTTTACATTTTTGTGAAGCTACTCTACTACTTTACCCAAAAGAAAAAACTAGAGATTTTTTTTTTACCTCAATGTCATCAATAAGTTCCTTTTTTCTTCGCCGAATGTCTATAAGTTCTTCTCTCTCTTCTAATGAGAGGTCTTCAGGCACTGAAAGAAAAAAAAACAATTAAACAACGACTTTGGAGAACGATATGGCAACATCTAGCAAGGTTGAAGATGGGCATGTGCTACCATCCGGCAATTCTGTACATAGGTATTTATCCTAAAGAAATCTAGCTTATAGCCCTTGTCTATGATATTCATAGCAGCACTGCTTATAATAGAAAAACAACCTAAATATCCAACAGTAAGAAAAGGAATAAAATGTAATATATTCATAAAATAGAATCCCCCACAACAATTTTTTAAAAAAATGAACTAAGGCTATCAATATGGTTGAGTCTCACAAAACGATGACTATAAAAGCAGGCTGGAGAACTTATACTGTATGTAATACCTTTTATAGAGGGTTTAAAACCCAGCACATCAACTTATAAATATTTTGGGGATAGACACACATGTACAGCAGAGTATACATAAATGCACAGGAATGAGAAACACCAAATTCTTGAGAGGGATTCCTTCTAAAAAGTTTGGGGTGGGAAGAAATATAATCCAGAGGGACATCAGGCAGTTTTAGTTCAGTGGATGAGAGATGGTCAGTGCATGATATTTGATGAATTTTTTTTGTTGACTCAGAGTCATTCATAATATCCTCTTATTAATAAGATTAACTTCTGCAATATTTCCATTCCTACAATGTATACATTCTCTCTCTTTTCTTTGATTAACCATAGTGGAGTTGGTTTATTTCACTAAGCTTTTCAAAGAAATAGCTTTTGACTCTAACAGTTCTCAGTTGTGTGTTTAATTCCTATTTCATTATTTGTTTAAAGAAACAAAAGATTAAGAATATGAGTAAATAGAAAGAGAACATGCAGCGCTTCTACAAACAAATTAAGAGAATGTGATTATGTGTAGGGGTGGATACACTGACCTATGAACTAGAAGACAGTGCCCAGAATAATACCCACAGACAGATGTAAACTAGA